CCACTGCTGGGCCACGTCACCACCCTATGCATCTACCACGTGGGTCTCTCTCCACATCTCTGTTCCTTATTCCTCGTATACCTGATAGTCTCTCGCCCTTCGCATCTCCAATCCCGTTGTGCCTGTCTCGTCTGTGTCACGTTCATCCCCGTGTGCACGTGTGGATTCGTGATTTTTAGTCAAAGAAAACCCCTCAAAGCCGCCGGACTAATTTCTGGGACAGCCTTTCTGGCGATGGGGGGGGGCAGCATACTGCACATGATCTCTGCACAAACTTCTTATTTCGTATGGCTGCTGATGTAGATGCAGAGCAACAACTGCAATGTCACATCCAGGTGGTCAAGCTGCAGTCAGGAGTGGGAGAGGAGTGTATCGCTCTGATGTCTTCTTCGTCTTTGTGGATCGGGCATTGTGTCGTTATACGTTGTACGCTCTAGTTCTGGATGACCACAGTCACACACTACTGGAGAGTTTTAAATGTTCCATTTGTGCATCATCAGGCATCCGAATCTACTGCTGCCATGGTTTTTGGGGATGCAATTTAGGGTGGACCATGAGCTTCGTGGAATATCAAACCCAGGGATCTTCTGCATAACATTGTATAGTTACATGTACATGTATTGGACACCTCGCACACATAAAACGTAAAAAACGATACCTAAATATGTACAATGTAATACGCACAATGTATATTAACACTGAAACGATGGCAAGCGTACGGTTTAATCCGAGTCATCTATCATCACGATAAACACAGACGGAAGTCTGAAGAGATGTTCTCACGGGCTTTGAAAGTGTATTTATTTTGTTTTTGTAAAATACGGCAAAGTTGGCACGTGAACGAATGTGCCAATTCATTACCGTTCCTGCACACCAGCGTGTTTGTAAAGCATTACGCAACATGCAACAATTGGGCACAGACGTCTCGCTGTTGTATTCAAACAGCCCAAGCAGAGCACCGAAAACAATCAGGGGCATCATCCACACAGGAACGGGCTCACCGAATTCCATACATCAGCTAAGTACAGAGCATTATATTTGCAATTGCACGCAAGCTTACACATTGTATTTATTTTACCATTTCTGGAGACAGAATTTCCTAGTGTTGACAAAGGCATCGAGAATCCCCTCCCTGCACATTGGCAAAAAACGTTAGCGCGTGGTACGCCTATACGCGCGTTTATGATGGTGTGGTCATCATTGAGGGCTTAAAGCGAGGGCATTTGGGGCATGCGGAGGGGTATGATCGAGTCGGTTCTCTAAACTTATACAAGTCAGAATCAGGTTGGGGGTATAACACAGGGGGTGGATGACATAGTAGACGCTCTAATCGCACCTCCTTTTCACACGGTTGGTTACGTAAGGTGCGAAGTTCAACATGCACACATACGCAGGTGGGAGACGTATGATAGGTGTGTGTGTGGGAACGAGACACGGTGTGACCACGAGGTTCAGTAATTTGATGCTAAGTGTATTAGTAAAGAGTGAAATAGTGATATGTGTACATGTTACATATAACACGCGTGTATCGACTGCAGGACGCAGTGTCCTGCTGCACGTAGCTTAATTAGTTTCACTTGGATATATTTTTCTATCTATTTTTGTAGCCTTTCTCGCTTAGCCCAAATGTTTATTGTACCGTATGTGCAAACGCACATATGTACAGATGTGTGTGCTCCTGCATGGGGAGCACGAGTATAGTTGTTAGCGCACTGCGCTACGAGCCGATAGCTCGATTCCAGCCAACATCGGTGACTATTAATTTAACTGGGCATGGGCCACCCCTACATCGACTCGGCCTTAAGATAAGTAGCTGGTGCGATGCATAAATATCAGCATTGGTGATACAAAGGCGGTTGAGCGTGGAGCTGGCGATACCACCCACCCACTTGTGTATTGAGTTTGCCTTCATAGGCGCTTACCAACAGCACTTTCCCCCAACAGTCTGTTAAAGTCTTCTTTGGTTCTTTCGGTAAAGTCACGTAGCAAGATCAGAAATCGCTGCAACCCTCAAAAACGCTAAGATTCCACCTAGCAACATCAGCAAAGATGAACCTACGTGACTTTACCGAAAGAACCAAAGAAGACGAATCCTTGCAGTCACGAAAGCTTCAAATCGAAAAGTCTGTTAAAGCTTTACGGGAGACCTTTGTCTTTACGCTCATGTGTGTGTGCCCGTGTTTGTATAAGAACGTTCTACTCGTCTCACACCACGGAGAGGGGGTAAGAGTCAAATTAAAAAGTGGAACGGGAAAGCGAAAGGATGCCGGGACGGCAAGTTCCCCCAGGAGAGGCAAAGGTGGCACACGGCTCGAGATGAGCAGCAGAAAGACAGGAGGAGGAAGGGGAGAAGGAATGACGTTGCCAAGGTGTCAGGGGTGGGAGGGTGATGATCAGACGGGAGGGGAAGAGAGGGAAAGAGAATGAGCAAGCAAAAGTGAGATGAATGGAGCAGTGTCTGTTTTCACTGGGGGCTCCTGGGAGAGATTCAGTGGAGGTAGCCACACGTCACATGGTTTACAGGAGGCTTGAGCCGATTTAGATATCGCGGTGTGTATTCCTTCATGTGCATGTTTGCAAGTACTGTGTATGCGTGTGGACACACTTTTGATTACATTTACATGTTTGCATGAGCTCATGTCAATACGTGTGTATTTGGGTGCTTATGTATAGCTGTGTATACGCCTAAGTTGGAAATTTGGAGACTGGCGAAAATAGTTTATTTAATATCAATAATTTTTAATCAACGTTGACTCCCGCTGTTTGTGCTTAACAAGGAGATGCGAGCGAGTGGATTAGGGTGCAGGGACACTAAGTGGAGGCCTCTGAATACCTGGGTTCGAATCCCGATTTAGGCCACACAAAAAAACACACGGTACATTCCAGTGTGTTGATAATTTTAAAAGCACGCACCACGAATGGGTACACCAGACCAGACACGGCTCCCTGTGATACCACAATCAATGTTGTCCAAACAGTTACAACCTTCGAGTGGCCAATGTAATTTGCATGGGCTATGGCTGGGCAGTAAGGCCTGGGGTGGCCCAGTCTCTGTGTGGGAAGCATGTTTAGCTGCTGGTATGAATGCTCCAGAACGCAATGCTCCAGAATAATTTCTAGTCCGGTTCTCTCTGTCACGGAAGTCTTTCACACATCCCGCATCCCAACTTATAACTGCCTCTGAAATGCTATGCCGCAAAGGCTCTGGAGTTCATTCTGTAGCTCCTCGTTGCGAGCATTGCCTGCCATTGTCATTTCCTACACTCGATGTTCTCGACAATGGGAAACAGCGGAGTAAATCTCCCCGCACTGAAACCTTGAATTTCCAACTTCTACACTGCACCACAGGGACCGATGAACTTGTGCCTCCTGATGGATGAGGAACGGGAAAAATATCAAATTCATCAATAGCACTGTCTTAAAGTGAAAAATAAAGCGACGTTTCGGGCAACGGCCCTTCTTCATTGCACACAAATCATTGCCTTAAGATAAATTTGCTATGAAGGTGAAAGGTCACCTATTATGTACTTTCCCATTTAAGGCAGTGTAATCGACGAGTGTGTTTTTGTTAATTGTGCTTGCGCACCGCTGCCAACGCAGCATCGCCAGATAACTTAATGAGGTGCTTGGCTCAGCATAACGTGCGCAGGGAACCGGAGACGGGAGGTAGTGAGCTTGCTACGTCGCCATTCTCACACTCGCGGCATTAATCAGCATAAGGCCCCGTACTCTACATGAAACAAATGGGATAAGCAGGCAATCCATTTCCTTCATAAATCTCTCCCCACATAAAATATACAAGTATTTTTTTTTACACAACCCACCAGCCCCTCCGGGAGTGCACGATTTCAGCAGCATTGACCTGATACAAGCAAAGTGTGTAGCGGTTTCGAGATGTGTTCACCAGCAGTTAGGTGTTGCTTGAATGAATGCTGGTGATCTGCCAGATGTAAACGTCAAGGAACCCATTTTGAGTCAAAATATACTATGTGATTATTTTTCAATCGATGCATGGGCTTGTTTCTCATAGGCACGGTATACAAGAGGGCAAGTAATTAATATGGAAGACCAAATTCATTTGCTATCTTTTTTTCTTGGCCCAAACCTGGAGCCTTTGTGATTTATTTACTTATTTTTCAGACATGAGGCAAGAATGTACCGCACTACTGATTAGAAACGGCACGTGCTGAAAGAATGACAATCACTGGCTGAGGGTGGCTGCTGCAAGAATCGGTCCTGTTGGGATGCAAGTGGCGTGCGTGACTTTAATTTGTTTGCACCCTCAAAGTTCCTTCGCGAAATTGCCTCGGCTCTGTTACTTGAGTTGCAACAATGCGTCGATTGATTTGGATGTTTAAGCTCGCCAACGCACACATCCAATCGCGTGTAAGACTCGAAGCTTATCCGATTCGTTTATGTTGTATGAGATAGCTTCACGAGACCTCTGCAGCCGTTGGTGACTGCTACATCCACCACAATGTGAAGGAAAGAAAGCTATTTTTAAATAGCAATGCAGAGATGCAAAAATCCATTAGGGTGGGAGGGATTAATCATTACTCCTCCGCCTTTTACCACCCACCAACTCATTCCTGCAATCAGCACTGAACAGTCTGCAAGAATGCCAGCTCAAAACCCGAAGTGAATACAACAATAACATTATCGCGACGGACGTCTTTCCGACAGAGACTAACTTGACAGGAACAGGCGACATATGAAAAGGACGTCACTATGCAACGTGTGTGTTAGCGCACATAACAGCAAAAAAAACACACTGGTACAATGCACCACCAGCAAACAACAGTTACAGGCACAGATGTCAGAGCACTCCACTTCCCATGGGTAACACCACACACCTGCCCTTCTGTGCCATTCACCAATTGACAAACCGTGCCCAGAAACAGCACCTGCTGGATGCCTCTCCCGGTACGCGCGAGTATCTCCGCCCTATGTTTCGTGCTAACGATGCCACGCTGCAAAAAGCACGTTGTACCATCGGGCGGTTACAGCCTTCGTCTCTTTGGCAGCGAGTCTTGCTCCATGTGCAGCCTGTGCTCCAGTTGCACCACCTGCCTCTGCAGCGCCGCAATCTCCTGGTCCTTGCTCTCTTGAAGGTGCTGCAGCTTCTGTGACGGGACAAGCGGGCGCGGGACGGGAGAGGGGGTGAGAGCCATGCGGGGGACAGGAGGGGAAAGGGCTGTGCCACGGGCGAAAGGTGGCAGCAATTGCAGGGCCAATTTGTACACTTTTAAATAATAATAAAATAACTCTGGATTATTAATACAATGGAAAGTGTTTTTTTTCTTTCGTATGCAATTAGGTCAAGACTCTCAGCAGAAAGAATGTTTTAAAATAATTGTAATATTGTCATTATTCCATGTTATTACCATAGCTTGTGTTATTAGCATAGTTCATTTTGGTTACAGACGCTGTTTTCTTGAAATAAGGATCCTGCTATAATACCTGATCAACGGCATCGTTAACAATGAAACATGAACCGAAAAATACCCAGCCACTAATTAAGGCGGTAACCCATCTTCAAAGCCAAGAGCCATTACGCTCTCTAGCATGTCCTTTGATTTCCCCGAAAAATCAGCTTCTCTATAGTTTTTAAGGAATCAGTGTCATTAGCGATGATAGTGGTTTGTTTAAGATTGTGCTATATTAATGGTTTCTCACTGTCCCTGAGATGTTCATTTGATATAAATATTTACAAGCCATTGACACACCGTCCTCGGGTCACCGTGATTTTTTTCAACCTAAATTATATTATATTCTTGGGTCTTTCGGTAAAGTCACGTAGATAGGTTCATAGAAAATAACAAAAAACTACGACGTTTCGTTTGCAACACAAGCAGTCGACCGCTTGTGTTGCGACCGAAACGTCGTAGTTTTTTGTTATTTTTTATTTTCTATGAACCTATCTACGTTACTTTACCGAAAGACCCAAGAATATGAATTCTTGCAGTCACGAAAGCTTTAAGTCAAGATCTAAATTATATTATTGCACGTAGCAATGTGTTCAAGAGCTGAATGCCAACGTCAAGGTTTGCTGGCCACGACGAGAGAGCTTCAGGAGACAGTTCGTGTCGTTTTGCTCTTCCTCATCCTTTGAAGGAGCGCGGACTACAGTGGTTTACTCCATTGTCCATCGTTTGCGTTGCATGGCCACAATTGCACAGTGACAAACAAAAACTAAGTTACAATCATGAACACATGCATTACGCGAGTGACCTCATCCTCTACCACCTGGTCACTTCTTACGTTAGCTGGGACACCACGCTTTGTTGACCAGGGAGCAGTCACTCATTGCAATTAGCATGAACTTTCAAAAGTCAAAAGGTCATAGGGCGTATATATAGCTCATATTCAATACCATAGGTCCCTAGTTTCTTCTCAAGTGCTCTGACCGAATGATGGACAAATGAGCTTTCGTTGAAGTAAAGCATTTTAGCCCCGGCCAGAACACCTGTCTGAAGATGTCGTGGTTGGAGGCTCCGCTGCTCCTCTGCTTGCTGAGCAGAGCGGCGCTTTGCAGCTTCGCGATCTTGGTGTCGTACTGCCGGAGGGGAGAGAGCGCACGGCAGAGCGGCGCACGGTAACGCTCGCTGGGCCGGCGCGAGGGCGGTATATCCACATGTGGCGATGCATCGACAACAAAAAATATCGGCGAGTTCGTCAACAACACCGCGTCCTTAAAAGGAAAAAGTAAACAGGTGATGTTTCGAGAAATGACCCTTATTCACAGCATTTGAGAAGTCGGAGAAGTAGAGTGGCCTGATTACTGACTACTGCAAAGCCTGAACAGCGACCCCGGATCGTGACAATTCATGAAATCCCTGGGCAGCTGCCGAATCATTGCATGCGCGGAGTACAAGGCAGTGTGCTTGGCGTACCGTGTTGCTGTGCAGTGCCGTGCAGTTTGTACCCAGCATGTTCCTACTCAGACAGCAGGAATCTGTTTTTTAATGACGTTTTGAAATTCTGTATGTCGTCGATTAATTTGTAATAAAACATTACAATCTTACTATCTCAAGAGTCTTGTAAACAAAACAACCTTCATTTATGCTTCAGGTTTTGTATTTATAGTGACACAATTCACATCCGTAATGATGCGGGCAGGGGGGGTTCTATTGGTGGATCCAGTTATCCATGGTAAATGACGCCTGTCCTCCGCACGGTTATTTTTTTTTGTGAATAAACACAAAGAGGAAGCGCAGTGCGGGGTGCCGTGCCTCTACTTGAAGCTTGAGAAGCTTGGCTCCCTTCTGTTTCTCGACGTCGCTCAGCCGCCTTGCGAGTGTCTCCACCTCCTGCTGCCGCTGACCGATGACCTCCTGCAGCCGCCCTGCCTCCTCCGCCACTGAGCGACCACACGCACAGGGCCTCTGCTCAGCCGCTGCCTCTCACACGCTCGCCTACACCACAGCTTCTTGGTATGTTCGTGTGTCGGGTGAAGGGTGCCCACGATGTTTTGCATTTCGCACTCCCACGGGGCCAGTGGCTTTCGTGTTATTTCTTGTCTTAACAAATGTTATTCCAATTAAGCAATTGGCATTATACTGAGGTTAAAGTATTTGGAGGTTTTTTTTTCAGAGCAGTACATCATCCTGTGTGTAAGAGAACAGGCCACAGAAGGTGATATCACATAACTACTTTTGAGAGTCCATCAATAATCTATATTAGTCACACGAGGAGATGCCCTTTCTCACACACCCTACACAGAAAATAATTCATTGCACGGAATTTTAGCTAATTGAAAAACCAAATTTATCGTATTTTTCTTGCAGTCACTGGTGACTAGGCTGGACTCACTGCACTTGAGAACCCCATTTGACGGATGGCCAAAACCCAGATTCAATTCCTGACTCCCAGCAACACCGGCTGAGTGCCCTCAACCCCTTAGAACCAACCTGGCCACCTCCCCAACAACTGGCTTCGATGCACAGACGCTCGACTGAGTGTGTCACACACAAGGAGTTCCAAATGCTTGCTTGGCATGATCAGGCAATGACAAAACTGAGCAATCACAAAGTGATTTTGCTCTGCGCTGCCACGAGGTCAGGGGTCGGCAACCAAAATAACAGGAGCCATTTATTTCAAATTCGGTTAAAACCTCAATATTTCAAAAGCCGCAATGTAGTCTTTAGAAGAGCCACATGCGGCTCAAGAACTGTAGGTTGCCAACCTCTGCACTCAGGGCAGGATTAAGATTGTGTAGGCCCCTGGGCTACAGATACTGTGAGACCCCCACTAATATTTTCAAAAGGAAAACAAAGTTGAAGAAAATTTTAATTTATTTTTACAAGGCTAACAACAAATAAAATTCAGCATTCACAAATTAAATAACTTTTCACTTAATCTCTGGAGGCCCTCCAGCTGGCGGAGGCCGCTGGGCTGCAGCCCCTAAAGCCCCCATGCCTTAATCCGGCCCTGCCTGCACTTGGTGGACAGGAGCACGAATCGATTTAGACTGGTGGCCAAGGTTAAAGGAAGATGAAGCCCCAAAGAAAATCAACTGCTTTCTACTAAGTATATATACCCATACTGTGTCCCAAGTTGTGTGATACAGTTTGAAACTTCGCTCATGAGAAGACAACACTTTATAAGTCGTGGTCAGTTACTCCCATCACAGTACTCGAATGACGTCGCGAAATTGACACGTTAAAATCAAAGCCATGTCAAAGTGATGCCACCCGAAGGCCATAATGGCACACTTCACCATACAATATCCATCTATTACTGCATTGACAAAACTATAAGCGAATACCTTATTAAGTTTGTGATATAAACAAAAAATCAGCAATTGTAGTTTACATGCATGTCGGTAACATGTGCGCCAGGCCAGACTAAGTCACCCGATGTGCACCAGTGGCGCTTGGGCCACTCGTCTGACATCCCCGTCACAGTCGTCCCAATCGGCCGTGGTTTAGCCAGCAGCCGCTGACGACCCAGAGGCATTGACTTACCCCTGCGCTCCGCCTCCTGCTGCGTGGAGGCGAGGAGCAGCGAGTGGTTCTCCTGCTCCACCAGCCGCTCCGTATTCAGCCTCCGCAGCTCCTCATCATGATGCTGGCATGGCGTGGATGTGCAAAACACAGAACAATCAACATCGAGCACTCACAAGGGGACGCCCCTAATGCCATGTGAAATTAAGCAAGTTACAGAACAATCAGTGGCGATTCTTGGACAGTCAACAGGGGATGCGAATGGGGGCACCACCGCCACAGAAACAGGCAGAGGTGTGGTGATGTCGGTAGTGACGATGGCCACTGTCACTTTACCTCGAGCGCCTCCCTCCCCAGCCACCCTGAGGATCTGACTCTGAATGGGGGGGCACGTTTGGGGGAGGCACTGCTGGTCATAATGGGGGTATGGTCCCCCCCCGCCCACCTCTCTCTCCCCATAGAATAGCCATTGAAATTAAGAAATCAATCGACTTGCTGTTTAACACATAGGCTTTTGCGACCAATATTATCCACAAGAGTTATTTTGGGTTAGACTGCATAAATATAAATGTGTCATTAAACCCGCCACCACCCGATGCAGCCAATTAGTAAGGTTTGTCACGTAAACAAAACATGCCAATTCGTGACAAGTTCAGAACACCGGTGTGTTGGAGAGTAAACCCACAACATTTACAATGTGATGGGGGTTTAAGGACACATATTTAATCGACTTTCTGCTTCATGACTCTTGCCGCTGAGTAAAGAGACGTAACAAAATACTGAGAATTATTAAATTTCTTTTTACATAGTCGGGATAAAATAATAATAAAACATGGGCGTTTTAAGACGTAATGTAAAAAAGACTTCCAGACTCAAATTCCCTAAAGGACCGAGGAAGGGAATTCCAAAATCGTGGAGCCTGACTGTAAAAAGTTCCGTCTTCATTATAACAAAATCTGGTCTTTGTAATCATATTGAGAAGTGGACCAGAATCAGCAGATACAAGTTTTCACAGTGGAATATAAAACTTAAGCAGCTCGGTGAGAATAAACAACGCATCTAGGGAAAAAGTGATGTGGAGGCCCAGTTGGAAATCTTACTTTATTTCAGAGATTAAACTGAATGCTCAGTTTATTAACTTAGAATGGAGGCCAAGCTTTCATCAAGCGAGTAGTAATGTGCTGCACTGCTCTGTGTCCATTAACGAGTTCAACGTATCTACTAACAGCACTGGCAGAGCTGCCAACCACCTGATTGGTCCTAATTTGTGTTTTAGTTTTTTTTACTCATAGATGACATCCTGAGTTCTCAAATGTAGAGAATTTATGGTCTCCACATGGTCAACGATGACTCATCAAAATAAACAATCCCATCACAATGAACAATGTTTCCAATTAATTTGGCACGGTGCAACTCCAAGGACTGAACAGTGCTTGGTTCGATTGCTTTGTGACAAACACCTCTGTAACAGGGCTGGCGAGAGTGCACCACCACCACCTAGTGTGGATAGGAGGCAACTGAGAGTAGCTCAGTAGTAGTTCTGTGATAGCACCTTCAATAGAACATTCTCAAAACAAAAATAAAACAGTGGGGTGACGTCACTCAGTTTTCTGTAAGAGTTATAACGTAATCACCGTCTGCAGTTCTACCAAATCCAGCTCCTTCTCCTTCACTCTCTGCTTCAGGGCCTCATTCTCATCTGCGCACGTCAGACCACATTGAGCCACAGTTGACTCTACAGCGTCTGATCCCTGCTAACGCAGAGCACCACTCAATGTGAACCAAGTCTAAATACTAAATATGTCAACACAAGGTCAATAGGTGCCGTGACACTAAAAGCGCATGAGAAAAGGGATAACATTGTAAACTATCTGTGATTACCAAAGCGTAAACGTTTTGCATGTCCACGATGCCGGTTGGCTGAACTGCTAATGCAGGTAAGGTTAGTGAGGATACTGAGACACATTCAACTTTAAAGGTGCAATGTAAATGTGACTGTGGGTGACGATATGTGGAACATTGGTGGTCAAACAGGTGCCGCTTAACCGACCTTCAACATCCAGGAAGCGGTGCAGTGACTTCTGCAGGCTGTGCACAACGCCCTGCACCCTCGTGCTCTCTGTCACAAACCAAGGGTGTTAAAGAGTGCGCAGCTGCGATTACAGACACAAATGGACGACCGTCGCCGAGGTTAGGCAACCAGCTGTGGTACCGTCATCAAAGGACGCAGTAAACGCGTGGCAACAAGCAGTGGGTACAACCTAACGTGGAGGAGGGGGGGGGGGGGCACCCCTATTCAAGCGCTCAAAGTAAAACTCCATAACCTCGGGATTGTAGGAGGCTTAGGGAGGTGAGGAATGAACTGGACAACTGCTGAGAGATCCAGCAGCAGCAGAAGAAAAGAGATGGCGAAATGCAGTGGCGTCAACAGCACGGTCCGTGATGACTTCTTTAGCTTGAACTCCAGTGGCTCACTAGCCTGAGGAATTGCCTCGACATGGGGCATTGCATGAGGGGGGCAACTGCTATTCATTAGCATTACACCATGCCCTCCTTCGTGGCATCCTTATAGAATCGCCACTGATCACCATGAACATACACCTTGAAAATTCCAAACATCAGGAGGCTTAAGTGCTACAGAGCTCTTGACATTCAGATAGTTCTTGACATGAAAGCTTCTCACTGGATCTCCAACCTTCGTATGTCACCGGATGCGATGATTGTCAGTGAATAGGAGGCATGTAATGATGCATTATCATGCACGTGATATATCAATTCCCGAATTTTTTTTATTAATGTCAACTATGCACGCGGCCTCAGACAAAATCACCCAGAATACGCCCATCTCGTCCGACCTCAGAAGGTCAGTGGGATTCGGGCTGGATAGTGGATTCAGCCTGGATGGATGACCACCATGGACACAAACAGGCTCTGGGATACTTGAAAGGCAGCGGGGCGTAGCGGAGAATTTTTTTTCTTGTAATCTACTTCAATGCTCCCATGTCTATGCTTCCGCCTTCATAAACTGGTCCCAATCAGCATGATGAGGTAAAATCAAACAACCCCCATGACCTACATGGCGCGAGGAGACCTTTATCCAGCAGTGGATTGACAAAAGTGCTGTATTTGTACACATTCTACATATGCAAATGATGAATCAAGGCTAACGGAGCAGGTAAGACTGTACAAACGAGATTATTAAAATAGCGAGAGACAATATAAACGAGACAGTCAACAAGAGACGTAAAAAAATATTTGCAAATCGAATCGTGACCACTGAATCGTGACAAGTGATGAAATCACTGTGGAGGTGGGGGGGGAGTCCTCCCATGCCTAGTGACTAGTGTGACATGTGATGATGATGTGATGTCGTGATGATGATGTGATGATGATGTGAAGATGTTGTGATGGTGGAGCGGCTACGAGCTTGGATGGTGGCACCTTCCCGCAGCTGAGACTCGGTAGCCTGACTAGCGGACAAACGCCACTCGGCCTCTTGCAGCCTCCGCTTCAGAGTCGAGTTACTTCGCTCTGCTGCACAAACATACTGAGAACACGCAGCACGTTACTCAGTCTTATTGTACATGGATGAAAACACGCTACACCATACAAGTCTAACATGCTGGGAGCACAAGCTTACAACATGTTACATCACTTTATCGCATATGGAGAAAGAACACACTACTTATATTCTTAGTTCTTTCGGTAAAGTCACGTAGAAAGAACCAAGAATATGAATCCCTGCAGTCACGAAAGCTTTAAATCAAAATTTAACACACTACTTACTATACCATGCCAGTCTAAAGCATACCCTAAAGACTCATTACACAACATTGTGTGTAACGCAGGGTAGGCTACATGGATCCGAGTGACGTCACAAAATTATCCAGTAGAATGTCTGTACACACGCTGCTAACACCATCTAGAATTCCACCCCATAAATTGGTTTTGAAAAAAGGAACCATTGTAATGCCGATTATAAATCTCAACCCCTAAAAAGGATTACGCATTGGCACACGGTCTGGTGATTCGTGAAATGCATCGTCATTTTGTTATGGCTGAAATAATTTCAGAATCCAATTGTGGAGATATTGTCTTCAGTCCCAGAATTGATCATGCACCGTCTGATGTGCATTCACCATTGATTTTGAAGTGAAGGCAGTTTCCAATCATCCCGGAATTTGCTATCACTGTCAATAAGTCACAAGGGCCAATGTTTGAGCACGTTGGACTTTCTCTCCATCCTCGGCCCCCTCTTGTTCTCTCTTTATGTCAATGACTTGGGCACTGACCTGGATCATTCCAGGGTAAATCTTTTTGCAGATGACACGATAATGATTACTGCTGGCCGCTCTCCAGATGACGTGATTGCTAAGCTCCAGGGTGATTTCAACAAACTACAACATCATCTAGTTGCTCTTAAACTAGTCCTAAATACCTCCAAAACCAAGGTGCTATGCTTCTCACCAGGACTAAAGCAGGAAGTTACTTTTCCCCAATTACATTGCTTAAATAATTATCAAATAGAGCAAGTCAAGATCTATAAGTATCTTGGGGTCGTCCTGGATTCAAAATTGAATTTTGAAGATCGCATTGATTACATTGATAAAAAGACAAAATAAAAATTGGTTTTCTGTATCGACACAAGCACTGCTTCTCCCCTATGTTCCGTTTGGAATTGATAAAAGCTACCATACTGCCTCTACTTGATTACTGTGATATTGTGTATAATTCAGCCCCAAGTACTGTACTGAAGAAGCTTGATTCCATCTATCACTCGGCCTTAAGATTTGCATTGAACTGCCCATATAGGACTCACCACTGTGATCTCTACATTGGGTCAAACTTAACATATCTTAATGTTCGACGGCTTGTGCACCAGATCTTATTTATTCACGATGTACTTACAAAAAAATCCGCAGACTACCTGCTGGATCTCCTGTTTCAAAGAACAAATTTGACCTCAGGTCTTCGCTCATTTACTACCTTCACATTCCCTACTGCCGTACAAAAACTGGAGGAAGGGCCTTTGCTATTGATGCCCCCAGGGTCTGGAATGCTATTGCCAATAAACTACAACTTGAATCACAACCTATGAGATCTTCACTCAAAACTGCTCTCGAGGAGTTGTACACCCCTAGCTGCCACTGCTATTCAGTGGCCTAAAATAAAATAAAATGTTTCGCTCCGGATGACCGCTGCAAAGTATTATCTGTATTTTGATTTAGTGTGCTGATCTTAAAGGTGCATTGAAAATGTGATACTCCGACTGATGCTCCTGTTGTTGTGGAGTGACTCATGCAGCCAGCTATGGCTCTAGGGCAGTGGTTCTTAACCTGGGTTCGATCGAACCCCAGGGGTTCGGTGAGTCGATCTCAGGGGTTCGGCAGAGCCCCCGCCACGGAGGTCCGGACACACTTGAATTATTGTGTAAATTTGTGATGACACACACGGCCCGCTTGGCCATCACTGGCTGCAGATGATCATGCTACACTGCTTGGCCAATCAGCGCTGCGGGGAATTTAGTGCGTACTCAGTAGTCAACGTGTGACTGTTGTTGTCGTACGTCGTGTGATTTCTTTAATATTTTATCCATACTAACTATGTCGGGCAAAAGAAGTGGTCGGACGAATATGTACAACATGGATTCTCATGTATCACGGAACGTGATGGGAGTGAGCGTCCTATCTGCATGATTTGCAACGCCAAGTTGAGCAACTCTAGTCTTGCACCGGCAAAACTAAAGGAACACTTCTTGAAGCTGCATGGAGACGGGGAATACAAGAACACAACACTTGCTGAATTCAGGGTGAAGAGAGCCAGATTCGATGAAAGGGCCACTCTGCCTGCTCTTGGATTTGTACCTGTTAACAAACCGATCCTGACAGCATCGTACAAAGTTGCTTACCTGATCGCAAAGCAGGGCAAGCCACACACCATTGGTGAAACACTTGTGAAACCAGCTGCATTAAAGATGGCGAATCTGATACTCGGAACAGCGGCCGAAGGTAAATTATCCCAAATTCCCCTTTCAAATGACACCGTCAGTGACAGAATAGAAGACATGAGTAAAGACATCTTGGCTCAAGTAGTCGCGGATCTGATTTCAAGCCCGGCAAAATTCAGCCTTCAACTCGACGAAACCACAGACGTTTATGATCTAAGCCAGCTTGCTGTTTTTGTACGCTATGTGAAAGACGACATGATAAAAGAGTTTTTATTTTGTAAGCCTCTTACAACAACAACGAAGGCAGCCGATGTGAAGAAGCTTGTGGATGACTTCTTCAGAGACAACGATCTTTCATGGGATATGGTTTCTGCAGTTTGTACGGACAGAGCTCCAGTCATGCTGGGAAGAAAGTCTGGTTTTGGTGCGCTAGTAAAGGCCGATGCACCACGCATCATTGTGACGCATTGTATTCTGCACAGGCATGCGTTGGCAACAAAAACCTTACCTCCAAAAATGGCAGAAGTATTAAAAACTGTGGTGGAATGTGTGAACTATGTGCGAAAAAGTGCTCTGAGGCACCGCATCTTCAGTGAGCTGTGTAAAGAAATGGGCTCTGAATTTGAGGTACTTCTGCTCCATTCTAATATTCGGTGGTTATCCCGGGGACAGGTGCTGAATCGTGTTTTTGCCATGCGTATGGAATTAGCCCTGTTTTTGCAAGAGCACCAACACTGCCATGCAGATTGCTTCAAAAATCCTGAGTTCATTCTCATTTTAGCGTACATGGCTGATATATTCGCAGCTCTCAATCATCCCAATCAGCAGATGCAGGGTGGTGGAGTCAATATCATGGAAGCGGAAGAACACCTGAAGGCTTTTCAAAAAAAGCTACCGTTATGGAAACGACGAACAGAGAACAATAACTTCGCAAACTTCCCGCTTCTGGACGACTGTGCAAGTAAGATCGAAGATGTGTCTGGAATCGGAGATATTTCTGTATCCACGGAACTGAAGCAAACAATTGCCACGCACTTAGATGAGCTTGCAAAGTCTCTCGACGGATATTTCCCTACAAGAGAGTCATATCCAGCATGGGTGAGACAGCCGTTCACGTTTGCTGTTGAAACAGCAGATGTCAATGATGAATTCCTCGACGAAATCATTGAAATTCAGCAGAGCCAGGTTCAACAGCAACTCTTCAGAACAACAACGCTCTCAACGTTTTGGTGTCGACAAATGAACAAGTATCCAGTTATTGCTAAGAAAGCCCTGGATTTTTTTATACCATTTGTTACAACATATCTTTGTGAGCAATCCTTTTCGAGGATGCTGGACATAAAAACGAAGAAAAGGAACAGACTTTGCTGTGAAAGTGACATGAGAGTGGCACTTGCCAAGGTGAAGCCACGCATATCTGAACTGATCTCTCAAAGGCAACAGCAGAAGTCACATTGATTTCCAGGTATGTAATTTGTTGTGAGTTTATGCATTGTGTTGGTTTTATTCTTTGAACAAGGTAATGTTCATGCACGGCTCATTTTGTGTACCAGTAAAAAACATATCTATGTCTTGAATTTGAAAAAAATCACATTTTATTTTTCACTAAAGAGGGGTTCGGTGAATGCGCATATGAAACTGGTGGGGTTCGGTACCTCCAACAAGGTTAAGAACCACTGCTCTAGGGTTTGGTGTTACATGTTATTTATAGTGTATTGTTAAAAATTCGGTCACAGTCCCTATGATCACTGTTACATTGCATTCATGGCTTTATTTTGGTGATTTCGAAAAGTTTTTTGGTTTGGCCATGTTTTTGTTTGTTGTAGTATGGAGTTAGACTGATGGACTTAATCTAAGTTGTCTTGTGGTTGTTGTTGTTTGACTTGTATCCCACTGGGATTTTTGCACACAGCGTTGGTGTACGGTGCTTTTTCAGGAATATTTTGCTGCTTTTTTCCTGGATTTTCTGTTTGCACAGTCACACAGTCACTTTAAGATGTTTTCTTGTTCATGTTTTTGTTTTGTTTGTTGCGGTTGCACCCGATAAAAGAGCCGAATGGCTCACAGGGCTATACCAAATAAATGAAACTGAAATCTCAACGAAACTATTTTTTTCCCATGGGCAACTTTATGTTGCTTTGTCAAGATGCAAAAATCCAATCAACATCAAAGTGCTGATTTGATTTTAAAAAATGTAATACAATCTTAAAATTTTAGTATTTATAATATAGCATTTAATTTGATGAACCCGTCACATGACGGGCAATTACACAAGTGACATGTCACTTTGCGTTATTGTACATCGATAAACAACACCAGCAAAAGCTTGGGAACGACTGACCACACAATGGGAAAACTTGTCATACTTCAGTTATACAATCCACATATTTACTTTTGGCGTTCATTCAAAATCAATTTTCAAACACTGATGACGCACTGCACCCCAGTGATTGATCTGACACCACCCAATCATCACTCAACAAACTATCATCACTGAACATTACCTACCAATATTTTTTAAGCCATTCTCTATAAACCGCAAGCATTTCCTGTGGATGGTCAGTCTGCTGAAACGTCGAGATCTTCCTTTACAAGCAGACAGGCAGAAAATATGGCATCTGTGCAGGACCGCCCTTTCCTGAAACCGCATTGCAATACCTTACGCAACACTACAAAACCTTACGCAACACGTGCACACCATTTGTTTCACTATAACCCTCCGCCACCTGACAAAAGGCACATTAAATTGAGTTGTCACGTGGTAAAATATGCCAACTGATTTGGGGGTTTTCCATCAAATATTGAACGGCAAGCAAGAGCTGTGCTTTTGCCTGACGATGCTTAATGTGTCCTCCAGCGAAACGTCGAACAAACACGGTCAACATTTTTCCAGGTCTCTTCAAAGTTCCCACCTCACTCTCCTCCTCGTCGTCTGATTTTACCGAACATCCCAAATCACAATCGGCACGACTGTGACCACTTGATTGGATTGTTCAAAAGGTTGTGCATTATACCTGCACGGCGACCGAACCCCAAAAACTCTGAATAATAATAAATATTGCCGTTCAGAGCCTACGCATAAACATATAGTACAGTAATACACTGTGGGATCGTATAGTCGTACAGTGGCGCAGATGAAACATAAACCCTAAAGTGGTATTCACGCTAAATGCACAAAGTACATTTAATACGAGCAGTGCAAGCAGTACTCAGCCACGACAGCCCGCTAATGTACTCACAATAACTGTACTGATATTTAATATACGGCATATGAATTATACTGTAAGATTGTGGTTCTTACAATGCCCTCATGTAAATCAAATTTGTATCAAATGTCCTTTATAATACTAAATTATACGTATATTAGCTATTGCATGATATGCTGTACATAAACCTAATGTACAAACTTTAGTTTTATTACACAAAGCAACGTTAAAGCCTTACAAACAATATGTAACTATCGTGACGTACACCTCTAACAAAACAACTTATAAAACACTTTGAAGGTAAACAATTGTGTAAGGTCAATTATTGTAGCAAGTTATTTTATGTAATACAAACTGCATTTCCACAGTATTGTAATTATTTACTTAAATTCGAGGCTGCTTGCGTGACAGGTAAATGATTAAGCCAGATTCTAAACATTACATAATGAACGACAGTTTTTATTTATTATTTTCAGTTTATTTATTTTGGTATAGCCCTGTGAGCCATGAATAGTAATCTAAACTTGAAGTAACGACCTACACATTCAGTAATAAGCTTCTTAAATTACAGATAAGAGATGTTAACGAGAGTTCTCGCCTCTTCCCAAGCCTGGAATTCCTCCAGCAGCCGCGCCATGTCGCCCACACTGCCCAATGGACGAGTCCACTACTTTCACACACCCCTGTTTGCACAGTCACGTAGTCACTTTAAGATGTTTTCTTGTTCGTGTTTTTGTTTTTTATTTGTTGTGGTTGCACCCGATTCAAGAGCCGAATGGCTCACAGGGCTATACCAAATAATTAAACTGAAACTGAAATAAATAAACTGAAAAAAACCCTCTCACCCAGTCACTGTGACAATGGACGAGTCCACTACTTTCACACCCCCCCCTCCCCACCCACAGTCACTGTGACAATGGACGAGTCCACCACTCGCACACCCCCCTCTCACCCACAGTCACTGTGACAATGGACGACTCCACCACTCGCTCCCTCCACACCCAACCACTGTGACAATGGACGAGTCCACCACTCGCACCCCCACAGTCCCCCTTCATCTTTATTTAGACTGGAGGAATCCGATGAGCTATGAAGCTCTTTTTCACAGATGTCGAGTAAATGTTCACACAGGCTACAGATGTCCCACACAGGCCTTCATGCACCAGTGGATAGATCATGGCTCCAGTCTAAATAAAGATTCCGATAGCTGAAGATGTGAACTTGTAACGTGAAGCACAGTATTTGCTCACTCTCGTTGAGAGAGAATGACTCAAAGGCACGAAGAGGAAACACAGACAAGCGGAACCACACCAACAATTGGCCAAGCTCTGTGGTCCTCTATATATTTAGGTGCCATTTGCAAATTAATGAGTGTTCTGCACGTGGGAGGAAACCGGGGCACCCAGAGAAAACACACGCGTGTAAGGGGGCAACCCTCTATCCCACAAAGATGGAACAGATGTAATCCACACTTCACTGAACCACATTCTCCTGGCGAGCCAGGGTATGGCACCTCCTCGACGCATACGGGAAGGGATTTTCACAATATTTGTGCGATCCACCAACCCTCGCTGCCTCCACGATGCTGGATTACAGAACCACGCGAATCGCCACCACCGTCCAGCAACAGAACACACGACTGCCACACGTACGAAATCCTCAACGTGGCTTCCCCCCTTCAGTCGAGGACTGGTTCACTGGGCATGAACTATCTACCCTACAGGGTGGTCCAGGTGTATTGTGTCCCCCAATTAAGTGACCGCTAACATGTTTTTTTTCTTTGCATGTTCATTTAGGTTTTAAATAAAACCTCGTGTTAAAAATATAAAGTTTTAGAAAATTCAACGAGGGTCACAAGACATCTGGACCACACTGTACAATGGTACCGTATATATTTGCCCAGATATTATGGAACGTTGTTGGGCCAACGATTACAACCATATGCCAACGTTCACACAACGTTGGCATGTTTGCTGGGTAAATGTCACCTGCACTTACTGAACAGCTATTGTTATGCTCCAACAATAACAATGCTCTTCTGTCCAACAATCGTAGCTATTTAACTGTCCCGAGTACAAACCCCGAACAGGCACGCTACCATGGGGACATGGAGCTTGTACAATATGGCACGATCTCACCGACATACAATGCCTTCTTCAGTCTCAACTCACTACCAGTCTTGTTTTAAAACAAACACTGGCACAACATGTTTAAACTAATACTACATTGACTTAAAGCTTTCGTGGCAGCAGGAATTCATATTCTTTGGGTCTTTCAGTAAAGTCACGTAGATAGGTTCAAAGAAAATAACAAAAAAAACTACGACGTTTCGCAACACAAGCGATCGCCTTCAGGAAAAGGGGGGTTAGCTTCCAAAGGCAAACTGTTTATAAGGGTTTGAAATGAGACGTAGCCCAAAAGTCAGGAGTCAATGTGAATACGAGTGGTGGTGGGCAGCCAACCCGACGGTGGTTGGTTTTCCACCAATCAAAGGGCTGACAGTTGAAAATTAGCATGTTAATGAGAGAGTAGCATGTTAATGAGAGATTAGCATGTTAATGAGAGATTAGCATGTTAATGGTAAATCGCAGAGCCGGCGCGCCAAGTGGCTGTGTTGGTGTGAATCCCCTGAAAGCACAACTAACATCGGAAGGTGATAGGATGGGAACATCATAGCCAATTATGACTTAAACTGGTTGATAACGTCCTTCCAATGATTGCTCAATTTGTACCCATCTTCTCGGTTGAAATTGTGTCTGTGTCTATCTATATGGATGGCTTCATGAACGAATCTTTAAATTTTTATTTAAAGCTTTCGTGACTGCAGTAATTCATATTCTTAGTTCTTTCGGTAAAGTCACGTTGAAGGGAAACAACTAAGAATATGAACGAATCTTTGTTGATAGCCAGTGGGCTTGCAAAGTACCAACCCTCTGCAATATTTCACTGGGTGCGATTTTCACTTGTATTATGTACAGTATTAGCTTATACAAGCAGTCATCGACTTACAAACACAATTAGTGTCTGAGATCCGTTCGCGAGTCGGTTGCTCGTAATTCGAGAAATGCGTGTACATGTAATGTGCATACGTGTCCGTTACGTGTTTGCTTTGTATGTGGTGAGCGGTGGCGCTACGAATCCGAGTTGGATAGTCGCTGACGACCAACACCAATGGTAAATATTTGAAACAGTCCTAGGCTTCCCCGAAGTCAACTCGGCCTTAAACGAGTATTGTACTGGGTGTAGTGTTTTTAAACATCAGCTCTGGAGAGACAAAGGCAGCCTGGCGTGGTTTCAGGGCGCACCACCTCCTCGTGTGCCGTGCCGGCTTTCATACTTGCTCACTAACAACAGCACTTGCTGTTAAAGCTATAGGGGAGATCTTTGTATTTGTTATTGCATGTGCCAACTGATCGACTGATAGATACAACCCTTGCAAAGGCTATCTTTTTCTTCCATTTAAGGGATTTTCCAGGTGAAATTTTGTACCATTTTTTAAAGAAAATTGCAAAAGGAGAGATGGTTTTATCGTTTGATTCAGGATACTCTTTACATTTCTTCAGTTCGAACATTTTTTCATTGCGTGCTTTTTGTTTATAAGTTTTCGTGCCGTGACTCAAATATAAATATTTTTTTGTAATAATTAAAATGCACTGCTGTATGAGAACGTCAACCCGCATTCAGGAGGCGGAACTCCACACCAACCGCCCATCCCACTCTTCCCTCCATCCTAGTTTGGATTACATAGTCAGGATGCGCCGCTGTGCCTGAGATTATCTTTCCCGATTGGCTGAAAGGTCGAGAAAGAGTCGCGTCGGAGCCAATCAGGCGGCGGAATCCGATAGCCCGAGCCAATGCGTGGTGGCGATTCTAAAGAGCCCGTTCCCGCCGTCACTCGCGGTTATTTCAAACTGCGCTCCCCTTCCCTTCACAATTCTCTTCAAACTTTAAAAAAACGTATTTAGTTTTTTGTTTCGACGTTCGGATTTTTGTTGTCGTTAAACCATCAAATGTGGGAGAGGCGAGCTTAAGCGGGTCGACTGCCGATGAGCGGTTGAAAGAGCGCTGGAGAGTCTGCGGTGCCAGAGGCCTCTTTCCCCTAGGCCTCTCGCCAAGGCCGGAGCCCACGGCGCTGGTAAAGCGGCACCACGCACGCACGCGGTCTCACGCGTTTCGTGAGGAAACTTTTCACAAACATTGACCGCGGTGCTGTCGCTGTAATGCACTGCAGCGCCGCTGTGAACGTGCGACCTCCCGGCGCGGCAGTTGACAACCTCGCACGGTGTCTCACGGTACCGTCTCCTCCCTCCACAGCGTCTGTCCACCCAGTAGTTGTCTCATGTTGCCTCTTGTGTTGGCAGAAGCGATGTGTTGAGGGAGCTCTCTTCTCGCCACGACGAGAGGGCTTCAGGAGAAAGTTCGTGTGGTTTTGCTGTTCCGCCTCCGTTGAAGGAACGCAGACTACGGTGCTTTAAATTTTGATCTAAAGCTTTCGTGACTGCAGGGATTCATATTCTTTTTGGGTTCGAAAGAACCAAGAATACGGTGGTTTAGTCTGTGGGAGTTTGTGATGCATGGCCGCAGTGGCGTCACTGTTGGCTTCTTGTATCTTTGATGTTCCGTTTATGAAGATGTGCGCATCGGCCCGTTGATGTTCCGATGCGGTTGATGGATACACCAGTGTTTTCGAATATGAATGTCAAAAGCCAAGGAGGTGTACGATGTTTAGGTTTCGAATGAGGGGTATATTTTCTGGACGGTCCGCGTTGTTTCCACATTGTTCTCAGAGCAGCGTTCCTCCGGATCTAGATGACATTCTGGGGCGATGAGAACACGATCCCGGAAGGGGGATCGTTAATTGATTCGGCCGCGCGAGGTACATTGTCGAGGTCTTGGTTGGTGGTTGTAGATGATTTTCGTTGGCAAGAAAATGTGTCGTAAACTCACGTGTAGTTTGCGTGTCTGCGGATATTGGATGGCAGAATGTGCGCCAGAACAGCGAGCCCTGGGTGTTGGTCTCTGTTTCAGCGTTCCGTTTGTGATGCGCATTGCTTTATTTAATTGTGCATCTAGCAGCTTTCTGTACGAGCTTCTTGGGACTAGGCTGGAGCGCAAGTGACTGCCACTGAGTGAGGGGGTGGTAGTTTGCAGCGCATCAGCTGAAGCGCCCCCAGGTCGTTCCTTGCAAGCGTCTCTAGTAGGGCGATCTTTGATTTGGTCTTTTAAAGTTCTTGAAGGTCAGGCTTGTGTCCATGATAACCCCTAAATATAATGGAGTGGTGTCATAGCGCACTAGGCTACCACATAACGACGCATCAACGGTGGCGTCTTCTGCATGATTGGTCAGAGGGAAAGCGTCTGCTGTGTTTTTTGAAGCATTTGGTCGGAGTCTCCAGCGACGGAAATATGCCTCCAATAAAATTAGATCAGCTGTTAGGAGATTGGCAATGTTTGCGTTGTGTGTGTCCTGTGCAGCAAAGGCTATGTCATCTGCATATATGAACTCGCGAGATCATACTCTTTGGTTTTTATCGGTAAAGTCACATAGGTAAAATAAAAATAAAAGAAAACAATTAAATCACGACGTTTCGGAGGCAACACAAGCTTCCGTCTTCACAGTAAGATCGCTTGCATCAAGTGGGGAGGCTCTGAGAGCCTCGCGCTTAAATACAGGTTAAGGGGGGGGGAGGAGCCAAGTAAGGGACATTGATGGGGTGCGGGGCTAAGTTAATCCGTCTTTTGTTATGTTGAGGGTGATTTGAGACACGGCAGAACGAATTCGTCGGCCGTAGCTGATCATTGTCTCAACACAGCGGGTTCTCATGAGATTGTTTTCTCTGATACCAAAGTACTATGCAAACCCCTCCCGGTTATTACCAAAGATTTGTCCATGAAGCCATCCAGATATACAAACATAGACACAACTTCAACCGAGAGGATGGTTTTAAATTAAGCAACAACTGGAAAGATGTCATAAACCAAGTCAAAACTTTAGCTACCTTATATGCACACAGCATATTCTTTCCGAACTTTTCCATTTTTTTTCCCATTTTTCCATTGCCCCCGTGCAGTGCCCCACCGGATCCACCGCACCCTCAACATAACAAAAGACGGATTAACTTAGCCCCGCACCCCATCAATGTCCCTTACTTGGCTCCTCCCCCCCCCTTAACCTGTATTTAAGTTCGAGGCTCTCAGAGCCTCCCCACTTGATGCAGCGATCTTGCTGTGACTTCACCTGAAGACGGAAGCTTGCAGTCACGAAAGCTTCAAATATAGATTTCGCGAGATCATGTTCATGGCAGATAACTTACATATATTAAATAATGATGGCACTAGTACCATGCCTTGAGAGAGTGCGTCCATAGTTCATAATTCTCTTTCGGCCGTGTTTACCAGTGAGATGTACCCTCAAAGTTTGGCGTCTCATGGTTTTGGCCAACTTCAGCAGCGGGCCACGATGGTCAAACGGTGCAATAGGCAGCAGATGCGTCAATCATTACCGTGCCAATTTTCTGCTGACTCTGGGAACCAGCCTCAATGTTCGATATCTGACAGGTTCGGGAGGCAGTTGGTGATCAATAATGGGGGAAAGTCTGGCAAGCATGTCACGATACCCAAGCAGTAATAGACGGTCAATCGGCCGCTTTTGCGTGGGTGGTTGCGTAAAGTATGGGCTATTCCCACCTCTTATATACTTGTGGTCAGCATGGAAGAGTAGGCCAAATACCCCCTAGAGGGGCTTTGTAGAGCTCCTTCTGACGGAGACCCTTCCGCTAGCAGTCGTGGATAAAAGAAAATCAGGGCTGAACCTTTAAAATGTATTAAGTTTACAGTACGTTGTCAGCAGAGGGACTTGTGGACAAATCCATTGCGTTGTGTGGTTCTATGCTCCGTCTGTGGATCTCCTCGCCTTTGTAAACGTGAATCGACCACAGTGGTGAAGTATAGTCAGGTCACTCCCCCATGACCTTCACTGTGTAGGGATGTCCTCAAGCAGCAGTGGATTGACAAAGGCACTGAACATGTACAATATTAAATACAAATCGCTTTTGTTCACACGCGCATGCCTGGGCTTTGTACGCGAACTTAAAACTCAGTTGCGTCATTCGTAACGGCGATTTACTGTATCGTATTACTGTAACAGCGGTGCAGGGATGTCACCAGAGGGCTCTGGTGGTGCTCCTAACTGTGATTTTTAAAGGCTGTTTTATCTGTAAACAGCCGGGGTATGTGTATAATAAATCACGGCAGTTTATCTTTATTTAACGATTACATAAATTCACCACAATAACCGATACGGCCGGGGGAGCAGTGGTGCGGTGCTTAGCACAAAGGTTGTGGGTGCGGTGCTTCCCACACCACCGCCAGGTGCTCCGTGACGGTCATAATTGGTGCTCGCTTACAGCAAGGGTAATTCACCTTTAAAGCACACCTGTGCTTAAAAAACACAGGAAAAACACCCATTGTTGTACTTGTGGTATCTGTCATAAAACGATGTGTTTATCATCATCAACCATGATCAATCTACTGCTGGATTAGTGCTCCTCTAAGCTGTCACCATTTCTCCTGTCTACAATATAATAATTCACCTAGCACCTGCACATTAGCTGATGTCATCACTCCATCTCTCCAGTGTAGTTGGACGCGTTCATTCCTTTAATTGCCACACCATCATTTTTTTACCATTTGCTATCATCCCTTCAGTGTAAACGACGTCATTAACCTGCGTATGTTCTCAATCCATGTGGGCTTTTTTCCATGTCTCACGATGTAATTTCAAGCATGCATCTTTGCACACTTGTCAGTCTTTATTAAGTGTTTGGCTGTTGCAGTCCACGTTTGTGGATGATATGTCATAGCAGATTGTACACACTAATTACATTTTTGTGGTTGTACTAAACATGAACGTTAAATCATGATTATGCACACATGAGCATTGTTGCACTTATCAATTCGGGAAAATGCGCTTGTTACAGAAATGAAGCGTAAAGTGGCGCGGTCGCGGAAGCTCCGATTGAGCCCAAACGAGGAGGCGCTGCTGATGAAGGCCGAGTACGAGAGACGCAGGAAGCTGAGGCTGCAGCAGGTGAGCCATCCTTATGCCGCACGGCAACTCTCGCTTTGCCGCAGGTGCACCGAGCCGGGGCTCGGGGGGGGGAACCTTTTCTTTCCTGAGAACTTAAAAAAGAACGTTCCAGTGGCCACACAATTTGTAGTGAACACGGGAGCGCACTTCCACTCGTGAGAATGCGGCACTTCCGCTTGGCGTTGCAGGTCCGGGAGCAAGAGCGGAGGATCGCGAGCCGGGTGCGCGAGGATGTGAAGCAGAGCCATGAGCAGCAGGTGCAGCAGCTCACTGAGGAGCTGTGCGTCGAGTGGCACCGTGCGCAGAGGGAGAGGGCCCGAGTGCTGGAGCGCATTTACGCGGCCAACGTCGACGCCATCGGGGAGGGCCACCGCCACGCCAAAGAGAATGTAAACTGTGCCCTCTGCACTCGCTCTCACGTGAGGGTTTTACTGGAAGGAATGTTATTGGTGTGGACCGAAATGTTACTTGGTCACAAAATAGTCGTCGCTAATTCTTGCATGTTGCTTTGGAGCAATATGGGTTATGTACATACGTTGAACTTCTTTTGCATCATACGCAGCCACCCGTGCTAACCGGAGGTGCCGTGGAAGGACAACAACACTAAACACAAAAAGCAGTTCTAAAGAAATGAGTTTTCAATCTAGATAATTTAAAAGTGCACAGCTCCAGTGGCTTCCAAATATCGGAAGGAAGAGTATTCCAGACGGCAAAGTAGCAGCAATGACCAATACGTGGATAGCAATCCACGTGGGAATTGAACATTATTTACGGTGGAATTTAGGACAAATAAAAAACAGAATAGCATAAGCATCTTATAGTTTTTGTTAACGGCAAATAAAAATCCCTAAGAATTAATACATTAAAAAAATCTACCAATAGATGGCAGTAGTACTGTATGTCCATAGAATATTGCAGGGTTAAATCTGGGTAAATGTTCGTCATAGCTTTCTGGTGGATTGCGGAGCCCGTTGAGGTCCACCAACATAGATCACAGTGCCTGGTTTATTAGCCACCGCTGGGTTGTGTATGTATGTTGTATGTACGTTGAACTTATATTGCACCGTACGTAGCCAACCATGCTAATCGGAGGCGAGGGTGACGCACAGCATATATATGAGTAGAACTCCGAGTAGAACTCCGTTCTGGGTATCCACATGGACTTGAAAACTAGAGGCTGACCAAAATTCGGTTTCGGCGCCGAAAGTTGGCAAATGGCCTCTTTCGGCATAGTTTTGGTTTTGGCTGAAAGTAGATTTTTTACTTTCGGTTTCGGCCGAAAGTCAATTCTTAACTTTCGGTCTGGTTTCGGTCGGCCTCTAAACTACACGCACGCATGCGACTCCGGGCAGCGGCGGCGGCGGTTGATGGCAGACGCTCCTCACTCTCTCCGGCGATCGCAAGCAGCGCACACACGCACACTCAAGCAAGGATGGGGGTGAGAGGGGTGTGGTGGTGGTGGGGGGGATAAGACAGACGATGGAGAAGAATAAGAAAAAAATCACTTCCCCCCCCCAAAATCACCAAACTAGCGAGCAGCAGCAGCAAGCAGCACACGTAGCCAGCACTTGCAGCAGCAGTCCACCAGGAGCACTTTTATTTGAGCGGCTCAGAGGCTGGGCTCTCACAGGCAGCTCGAGGCACGCACCACACACAGGCGGGCGCACGCACAGCACACAGACGTGCGCACGCACAGCACACTGAGCAGATTATAGCAGCGTGCTAATGCCAACAGTGTGCATACGCGCGCGCACGCTCATTCATCTGCCCACCAGCCACACACACACCAACCCACCCACCCCTCCAATGATCCTATTCAACCCTCCCACCACCCCATCCCACCCCACCTCCTCCTCCACATGGGTTCCACACAGCAGGAGGGGGCTTGGGTGTGTGTGCGTGCGTGCGAGTCTGTGACGCGTCTAGAGGCCGACCGAAATTCGGCTTCGGCGCCGAAAGTTAGCAATGGCCTCTTTCGGTATAGTTTCTGTTTCGGCCGAAGCCAAAAAGTTAACTTTCGGTTTACTTTCGGTTTCGGCCGAAAGTAAATTTTTAACTCTAGATTTGAAGCTTTCGTGTCTGCAATGATTCATACTCTTTGGTTTTATTCGGTAAAGTCACGTAGATAAAATAAACAAAATTGTTTTCTTTTATTTTGTTTTATTTTATCTCCGTGACTTTACCGAATAAAACCAAAGAGTATAAATTTTTAGCTTTCGGTTTTGGCCAAGACCAGAAATTCAGTTTCGGTCGGCCTCTATTGAAAACATTTGTTTAGTCCATCCACTGCCGAATTAAGGCATCTCTTAGGCAGCGCAATCTCATGGTCCTGCAGTCTAGCTATATTTTTTTTATTACATGGCCAGTTTTTTTTCGCAATTGACGCGCATTGTCTAATTATAAAAAAAAAAATTGTACCTATGACCGAAGTTCTCATAGTCTCTGTAATGTCAGTCCCCTTTTACCTGCGTCGTATTTACCCGTATAAATGTTGTTAATTCAGGGAGGGGTACGTTTTACTTTCCGGTGCGTCTATTACTCTGGAGAATAAGGTAAAAGTTGTTTTTATATTTTATCGAGCGACGCCGCGTTGTCGCTAGGAGCCGGACCTGGCGGCGATGGCGTCGGCGGTGGCGGAGCAGCAGAGCCGTGCAGTGGAGCGGCACCGCGGAGCTCTGCGAGAACTCAGAGTGCAGAGAGAGCGGCAAAGCAACGAGAGCAACAGGTGTGGCACCCCCCCTCACCCTCACTCACCCTCACCCCCCCCCCCAAAGGCAATTATCCCCCGTATAGCCTGAACAGACTGTTGGGGCAAGTGCTGTTAGCGAGTAGCACCTATGAAGGCCGGCACGGCACATGAGGGGGTGGGTGGCCAACACCACGGCCGGCCGCCTTTGTCTCCCCAGTGGTGATGTTTACACACTGTACCAGGTACTAATTTGAGGCTGAGTTTACCTAGGGGAGGCCCATTAACGGTTAAGATTAATGGTCACTGGTTTTGGCTGTGAGCGGGAATCGAATTCGGGTCGTCAGGTTGGTAGCACAGCGCGCTAAACGCTATACTACCGCTCACCCCCCTACCCCCCTCACCTCCGTGGGCTGTAGCCAATATGGTGTTATGATTCGCCTACCACCACTGTGTTTTGACGATATGTTGTGATTCAGGGCCTTTGATCAAATCACATGGAATGAACCCGATTTATCATCATATATTGGAAGCTAAGTCGGGTTGAGCCTGGATAGAGCTTGCATGGGCGGCCAACTTGTGTATAAAGCAGGTGCTTCAGGCTGCTGTGGGACTATGTTGTCAGCAGAGGGCACTGTACCAAAACCCTTGTTGTACTGTCCTATGCTTTCACCCAACACTGACCGGTGTGGTGAAGTGTGGTTAAATAACTACCGCGACACGCACAACGTGGTAAGGCCATCGTCCAGCAGTGGATCGACAATGGTTTAACGGCATTCAATTTAGGATTATATTTCTCGTTTACGCAGTGCACTATGTACCCAGCAACCTGAGTTTTATTAACAGCTATGAATAACATTGTTGGCGAGCGATATCTGAATAGTTCCAAGGCACCACGTCACGAACGTTGCTCTGACCAGCATGGTGAAGTCAATCTGTCCCCATTACACAACTGACAGCTATTCATGACCATGAGGGTATTTTGTAGGCATGTAATAATGCACCAATATATCAATTAAAATCCAATCATGGCCCCGAATGATGACGTTTGCGGTTTGGCTTGCTTGTGAGTCTTAAGAGGCTGTCCATGTTGCTGTGCAGGTTGCTGCGGGTGCGGAGAGAGGTGCTGGGGGTGGAGAGGGAGAGGGCAGCGGTTGTCGCCAAGCTGCCTCCTCCGCAGCCCGAGCCCCTGGAGGTTTTTTCTGAGCCTCAACTCTTTCTTTCCCTATGCTTCCCATGTTGACGTTATTGTGGTGTAATAATAGCGAGCGCACTGGACTTGCTATTCAGAGGTCAGCGTTTGATCCCCTCTGCTGCGGCAGTTGAAACGATGGGCAGGTTTATTCAATCTCCCGTGCCTGTGTTCACCCAGCTGTATACATGATTGGTAGGTTGTGTGTGGTGGGTTTAAGTGTGAGTACTTCCAACCTTTCCAAGATGCCTGGTCAGCATGGAAGAGGAGACCAAATTACCCTCGAGACGGGTTCTCTAGCCATGAGGCCTTTCTGCCGGCAGTGGCATGAGCAAGGCAATTGCAGGGCTGCGTCTTTCCTTATTTCAAAGAGATGAATACGTGCAAGGTTACACTTTTTGCCTCGTCATAAAAATCGAGAGGTGCTTGCATGAATTGGATGGCTAATAACGTCACGGAGCACAGAGCTGGCACCGTAGTGGTCCTGGGTTTGAATCCAAAGATTCAGCCGCCCGTGATTAAATGGGTTCTCAAATATAGAGATTTGAGGGTTTCAGTTTCAGTCACAAATCATTCGTTGTGCCCCTGTTATGGGTAAATAAAGAGGGCCGTTGAATAAACTTTAGAAGTATTCCCATGAGGTCCTATTCTAGGACCTGTCCCTTGACGGGGTAATGTTTGGATTTCGGAGAGAAATGTTAACTTCTCATGACGCGACACCAGCAGCGCCATTAGTGTAATGGAGAGGAAAACACGAAACGGAAATTTTAAGGAATCTTGGACTCACAATACAGAACATAGAAATCCATTATTGAATTTTGGGTTAAGTCCATGTAATAATCTTGCCAAAGCTTGTATCATTTAAAAGACTCCCCACCACCTACACAGCCAAACAAATTGTCATCTTTAATGTGCCAATTATTTTTTCAGTGCACCAGTTGGTGAATAATTATTCTGACGACCAAATACAGCAATTTAATACAACGTATCATTTGAAACGACATCAGATATCATTGGGACAAAATGCAAGTCAGAATTAAAATTCTGAAATGTTATCTTAATTAGGTTTTGCCAGGCACTCTTGGCATGCATCTGTAATCCAGAATTGTTGTGAAACTCTCTTCCCGTGCGCATCAAGATGTCGTACCCTGATTCGCCAAGAGAATGTACAGCGAGTGTGGACTTGTCTCCATCTGTCCCATATATTTGGGTTGCTCCCTCACATGTGTGGGTTTTCTCCATGTGCTCTGGTACCCCAACAAATATAAGCACTCATTAATTGCTAAAACTCTTATTCTATACGCGCCTCCTGTTTGAGGATTACGCACTTATTATTAAGACGTAACTATAACAATCGATTGATATGTAAACTATAATTCATAATATTGTCTGTTGAAAAACTATGTATCATTGACACATTTTGATTAAATAAATTCAATACAATGTGTCATTGAATATGTGACAGACAATTACACTAGTTCATAATATTGACTAATCAAAACCTGCGTGTCAACGGGACGTTAAGTTAGTCGCGCACGATGTCATTGCAGAGGCTTGCGAAGAAGCGGAGCACACTGGTGAAGATGTACGACGTTGAGTGCTTTTCCCAGACCCATTACCACCTGCTGGAGCCTTGCGCCGACCGCGAGATTGACACTCAGCAGGTGCGCCCTGCAATTCCCGCTTGTTTGCGCTTCGTTGGAATATTCTTTACACGCTGTGCAACTCAGCTTGCATGCATCAGCTCTTGCAATCTCTGTCAGTAACAGGGGGGTGGGGGTTCAGAATAACCACGGTGGCGAGATGTTAACTACCTCACCTGGTATGCAGAAGTTCCTAGGTTCGATCCCGACCCTGACGCGTGTATATTTGGAACTTGTGTGTTATTCCCGTGGTTGCATGGATTTTTATCGAGGGTCCTCTGGTTTTTCCCCTCTACATTTGGCTGCTGTAAATTTCCAAATGTTGATAAGCCACTTCAATGGGCTATCATTTTTAATAGCCAGGTCGCTTCTGAAAAATAACTATATAGCTCAGTGGGCCTTACCTGGTAAAAGAAAAAAAGTTTTAGATTATTGTTTAACCATTGGCTTGCCCCGCGATGCCCCATTTGGCGACGTCCACCGTGCTCGCGTTACCTATCCCGCGTGGCAGGTGAATGCGCGAGCGGCTGCCGCCGAGGAGGAGCAGAGGCTGCGGACGCTGCAGGAGCAGACGGAGCGGGAGGCCAAGGAGAAGTCGGAGAAGGCGAGGTTGCGCGGGTCGCATGCCCTGCGCATGGTGCTGCTGCAGCAGGTGTGTGCCCGCACACCTGTGTGTGCATATGTCGTCTGTGTGCACACACGCTGTGTATACACACACACCATCGATGATTATCTGAACCGGTCCTGGGCCTCCCCTAGGTCGACTCTGCCTCAAATTAGTACCTGGTGCAGTGTGTAAACATCACCACTGGGGAGACAAAGGCGGCCAGGCGTGATGCTGGCCACCCACCCATTCGTGTGCCGTGCCGGCCTTCATAGGTACTCGCTAACAGCACTTTCCCCAACAGTCTGTTAAGGCTATATGGAGGGGGATCTTTGTCTTTGTGTACTCGTTCGTTTGTAGCTTCACACTGTGATAAAACACGGGCGTCTAATTGCTCACCCGCAGGACCGAGACCGGCTGATGCAGGAGCTGGAGGTGAAGCAGCAGGGAGACTGGAGGCGCAGGAGGCAAACGGTGTCCCAGCTGCCCACAGGTGGGCTGCGCATTCTTCTCCTAGCGTTTGTTAGGACGAAACGATCTTGATTCATTGCCACGATTCTGCGTAATGATTTACTTGATGTTTTTGTCTCACTGGTACCGTTTGGGCTTGGTCGATGCAGTGCTCATGATGGGCATCAATAGGAGAAGCTCATTATGAGACCTCCTTTGCCAGAAACAAGATATAGGAATAGGTTTTACCCTTTTAACTGGCACAAAAAACTGACACCTTTATTCTAGGCATCATGTTTGCAATGACCACAACACAAGCAGTCAAAATGCAAACAAAAAAGACAACTCTGATAATAATATGCACTGTCCTTGAATTTGATTGGTCCACACCCGAGACAGCTTTTCTTAGAGCCTAGTCTCCATTGGTGTTGGACCAGAAGACGCCAAAAGGCGTACAACTCAAAAACAGCGCACTATCAGAGTATTGAGGGCTCGGGGTGAGCATTAACATTATGAGACCTCCTTTGCCAGAAACAAGATATAGGAATAGGTTTTACCCTTTTAACTGGCACAAAAAACTGACACCTTTATTCAAGGCATCATGTTTGCAATGACCACAACACAAGCAGTCAAAATGCAAACAAAAAGACAACTCTGATAATAATATGCACTGTCCTTGAATTTGATTGGTCCACACCCGAGACAGCTTTTCTTAGAGCCTAGTCTCCATTGGTGTTGGACCAGAAGACGCCATAATTCAAGGACAGTGCATATTATTATCATCAGAGTTGTCTTTTTTGTTTGCATTTTGACTGCTTGTGTTGTGGTCATTGCAAACATGATGCCTTGAATAAAGGTGTCAGTTTTTTTTGTGCCAGTTAAAAGGGTAAAACCTATTCCTAGGAGAAGCTCAGTTAAGATTTTGCAAGAAGTGGCATTGATCATTATCTTCACATGTCCTCTTTAAACCACGGGTAAAACGGTGCTTGTAGTCTAAAGTTGAGGTCGCTAGGCTAGTGGGAGTTACCCTCGCATGAATGAGGCATGAAATGCAGGTTCAATCTTGACTTAAAGCTTTCGTGACTGCAGGAATTCATATTCTTGGGTCTTTCGGTAAAGTCACGTTGATAGGTTCAAATAAAATAACATTGTTCCTGAAGACGACCGCTTGTGTTGCGATCGAAACGTCATCGTTTTTTTTGTTATTTTTTGTTGTTTTCTTTTAACCTATCTACGTGACTTTATCGAAAGACCCAAGAATATGAAATGCAGGTTCATTCTGCTGTATTGAAGTGATGAGATCATTTTATAGGAAAGTCCATATGTTATTTAATTACATAGGACCCTTATATTTTTATGAGGGTCCTGCATGGGAATGTTTGGACAACACACATTTGACCTTAATTCAGTTTAGTTGTGCCTGCTTTGACCAATATAGAAAGTTACAGATAAAATATCAAGGTCTTTTTTTAAAGTGTTTTTTTGCTCAAATAATAATTCAATATCTTTACCAATTTATGGGCAGTCTCAAAACAGCTTTTCAGGATGTTTTTTTGCAATTCCGTTGACGAGTGTATTGCATTTGCATGTGGGCGGCAAAATGTAGTAACATGCGTTTCGAGTATTTGTCTACTATACATTTCTACGTGATAAGCCACTTAATTGGGTTTTCATTTATGGCACGGTCGCTTCTGGAAAAGAGCTACATAGCTCAGCGGGTCTTACCTGGTAAAATAAAAAAAACTTTATAATTTTAAACGGGGAAAACGCACCACGCATACTACAATGTGTCCGCACATTCAGATTCACAAACCCACTTGCTGTACTGCCATCTATTGGCCGCATCGCAGACCAGCCCAGCGGGTTTTGGATTTGGACAGGTGTCTTCGTGATCCACTAATCCTCTTCTTCGGAGCGCTGGGTCGCAGGCGTGCGCCACCCCGCCTGGCTGACCGAGAGTCTGCGGGCGCGTTGTCCTGCAGGCCTGTTTGACCCACCCCACCGGCGCATTGAGATCCGCCAGGAGCAGCAAAGGGACATGGAGGAAGCCTTCGAGGACCTCTATGCCGGCGGCGCGAGTGAGAGAGAACGTCCTGTGATTGCACATACGTCCTGTGATTGCACATACCATGGAACCTCATCGTGCAACATGTCCTCGAAATTATGTGGATTGATATACCGTGGCCTGAATGAAAAAAGGCCCATAAAATAAAAAAATTCAAATCGCATTCCCAAGGCTCAAAAAAATGTTACAGCGTACACATCGATACTGATATGTTGTAAGCAGTGTCTCCACGCCGCGCAGACACGTCACACATCAGGCATTCCCGGATAAGTACCGAATCGTGCTGCAACGTCTGTAACATTGGATTGATTGTTCCATATTGGGCTTGTGAGTTTAGGCAATGTTTGTTTGATCATTCTTTCATATTGCTATTTATATTTGTACAGCAGTGAGTTAGAGACTAACAGGCTCAACAACTGACACGGTGTTGGGAGGCGTTCATCCAGCAGTGGAAATTATATCACATCTTGTGCCTGGACATGCCCAGGAGCAGGGAGTCAACAACACCGGCAGCTTTGGCCTAGGGGTGGTGGGTGCTGTAATTTTCCAAACAATTTCAATGGAATAAGCAGCACTGATTCAAACTAAAAGGTGAACTGGCAACCCAGTAGTGATTCACAAGCAGTGTGCCACGGCAAAGTCCCGGGTGTGCCATGGTAGTTTTGTAATTAGAGAAGCTAAGAAAGACAAACTCTCCGTGCTGTTCAGTGGCTGATCCAGCCCACTCCCTTGGTTGTGACCACCCACCCAGGCCGACAGTGTGCAACAAAGGTCGAGCAATCTCGAAAGTGAGTCCCTTTGAATGAAATAGTTTGAGAATCACTGCAGTTATGTGACCACAGGATTGTTTTGTGTTGCAGGGTTGCGTGCCGATCCGTGCCTGCGCCCAGACCCAGACCCTCTACCAGCACCGTCGGTTTGCACCCAGGACGAGGCAAGTCGCAATGTCCCTAATTGTTAGCGGTTTGATTGGCATGGAGAAATTAATGTGCATTGCTTCAGAATGTGTTTTGTTTATTGCCTTGTTCTTAACAAATTCGTTTGTGTTGGCACAGACACAAGACACTTTACCACTATCAGCACAAACTGTTAAAGCATCCACTTTGTCATTCACGTTTACTTTATTAGCATCCACTTTGTTTCTAAGAATGCCGTAGGAATGCAATTGTAGAGGCAGTTAACGAGAGGAGCTTGTGATGCGTGAGGTTTACATTCAGGATGGTGGAGGGAAAGTTATCGGGACAGCAACTAAGGGCAACATCTAAAGCCAGACGATGGTGAAGGTGAAGTCGTATCGTCGGCAATGTAACAACGCATTGACTATTCTTAGCTCTTTCGGTAAAGTCACATTGAAGGGAAACAAAATATATATAAAACAATAAAAATTCTCACGACATTTAAACCATAACACAAACGGTCGCCATCAGGTGTGTCGGTTTGTGTTATGGTCGAAACGTCGTGAGAATTTTTATTGTTTTATATATATTTTATTACTTTATTGTTTCCCTTCAACGTGACTTTACCGAAAGAGCTAAGAATATGAATTACTGCAGTCACGAAAGCTTTAAATCAGGTGGTGAATTGTTTTAGTCCTGCTGTAAATGTATGCTTGGAATTACACTGAGATGGAAAATGAGAAACAAATGGATCGGAAAACATACGCAGGTGAAAGACATCATCACATTGAGTTTCAAGAAAAGTGGGTTTGGCCTGGACACGTTGTTGCCGGGGTCGATGGCCAATGGTTGAGGCTAACGATTTTATGGAGTCACGGTGGCGAAATGTTCACTACCTCACCTGGTATACAGTAGGTTGTGGGCTCGATCCTGACCTTGACGCCTGTATATTTGGAGTTTGGGTGTTCTCCCCGTGATTATGTGGATTTTTCTCCGGGTCCTCCGGTTTTTCCCTTCACATTTAGAAACATTCAAATGGAAAGGTGCGATGGCTTCAACAACATTGACCGTGATCACCCCTTGCCCCTGATAGGAGGTCGAGGAGGTTGATATTGCAGGACACCCGGATCACAGTGGGCTGGTCATCCGTGAAACGGAGCTAGAATCTGAGGTGGCGCTGGTAGGGGAGGAAGAGGAGGAACCCACGGCCGGGCCCTCTACTGCTCATCCTGAGACCAACAAGGCTGCAGGTACCCATTGCTGCACGAGCGGGTGCAGCCAGCACTGTATCACCAGTGCCATTGTCAGTAACTACTGTCAACTCGGTTAGCCTGGGTACGGTAATAACAGGGAGGGTGGCCAAGATGAAACAAAAACATGGTGTAATTCAATAATGATTCATTTAGGCTATACAATGTACTGTTTACCTATGTAGAATGGGGGTGAAGATGTAGAAGGTGTCGTCTATTTTTATTGCCTATGTAGGTAACGAGTTTACTTTCTGACGTGTTTTCGGTCACGTGGGCAATTAATTCGCTGATCCTGGATAAGTCAGGAGCAGCGCATGATTAAACCAGTCCGCAGGAAGATGTATTTTTCACGCAAGTATGGTTTATCTGCAACCCAAATTTTTCACCCACGGGTAATCGTTAGTTAACCGAATCTTCCGAGCTCATCCATTGAGCTGTGATAAAATCAAATGATGAGTACATTCTTACTAATTCGTGCTGTGGTGCAAGACCATCAAGAAGTTGCTTTGCTTCACAGACGAGCATCGTTTGCAGTAGTCATAGTAATGGGTAATGTTGCTCTGTCGCTTTGTGGCTTTACGGCAATAAGGTAGGAAGAGCACGTGCCAGCCAAGTGGCTCAGTTGTGAGAGCGAGTGGATTGCAATCAGAAGGTTTCGAGTTAAAATCATGCTTAGGAGTTTACTCGGCCCATCACCCTTTTGAGGTCGTTAAAATAGGTACCACTACATGAGGAAGTGAACCGCGGTTCTACGTAGACTTGCCCCTGCCATAGAAATGTGGAATTTCCACCACTAGCTCATGGGCTGCGCACTGCGTCAATTCTCATTTGAGCAGGAATTTATTTTTAACACCCAATGAGGTAATCGCCCTTGTTGGGTCCGCATGCAGGAGGAGAGGGCGTCGAAGGCCCCCGTCGGCCTACTCAAAAGGCCCTGAGCCGCCTGCTGGGCCGCATCAACAGCCAGCGCGAGCAGTGGCTCTCTCGGGCCCAGGCAGGGCCTACGCAGCCCGTGGATCCGCCGAAGGGGCCCTCGTGGATGGAAGCAGAGGACGAGAGCGTTGTGGCCGGGGCGGTCTCCATCGTCCGCCCACGTGAGCGGCTCGACACTAGGCAGATGCCCACCACGCAGCGCCACCAGCAGGTTCGGGAGAGCGTAGTGATGCACGCTCGGTGTGGCGACGTGTCCATTTTTGTTCTTGGCTTGCTGGCTGAATCACCGCAGTAAGTGGTAGATGCGTAACGATTTACTCTCTCGCCCCCTCGATTCGGTTGTCGGATGGTGCTGGTATTCAGGCGTCGTTGCTGGAGGAGCAGAAGAGGCAACAGCTGCTGCTGCTCGAGCAGCTGGAGCAGCAGAAGAGAGAGCTGGAGGCTCGGCTTGAGCAGGAGCGCAGTGAGCTGGAGGCCCCGGAAGTGCGCGCACACACATGGCTTTCTGGTCGCATCCCGCCCGGTAACTCGGCCTCTGTGTTCGTGTGTCTCTGCCAATATCTTCGTGCCCGTGGCCTCTAGCACTTGAAATATAAATTATGAGGGCAGTGGCTATGATCAAATAACCTGGACCACGTCCGACCTCGTTAGGTCTCGGAAGCAAATACGATGGATCGCTAATACCCCTTTTCGTATTTATTTATTTACTTATGTATGTATGGTGAACTTCTTTAGCACCATACGTAATCAACTATGCTAATCGGAGTTGTGGGGAAGGAAAATAAACTAAACACAAACGTTTCCAATGGTACATCTGTGCCATGCCAGCGCAGGTTCTCTCGCTGTAGGGTGGTTTTTCACTGACTTTTCCAAGTCGAGCCAAAACCAAATCGTGTTACGCTAGCCTCGCATGACATTTTTATCTGGCTCAGGGCCAAGCAGGGCCAGGGACAGAAGAGGTATGTGTGTAACGTCAGTGGTACGGTTCGGATTCTCCAGTGGAAAAACAGCCAAGCGCCTCCTGAGCTGTGCTGGGATGCTCAGAGCGGATCTCTGTTACACATTCGATAAGAAGTTTAAGGGACGTGTGTGTGTGTGTGGGGGGCTTTACAGCCTCCAGGGTGGAAGTCAAGGCACCTGAGCCTGGTCGGCTGGACAGAGAAGCACGGGGCATGGATGATGTGGCGCAGGAGGAGCAGGGAGAGCGGGCAGCGACTCTTCCTCGTGCACTTCACTCCCTGGTGATTGAGAACGGGGACACCTGCTGTCACAGTCGGACCGAGCCGCCTCTTCAACCAGGCGTTTTCTGATTGAAGAGCCACTTGGTCCCACTTAAATCAAATGTGTTGGCTGATTGAAGTTGAGAATTAATTTGGACTGAGTTTATTAGGGCCCAATTGTAGGAGCCACTCGAACACCCGCTTGTCTGGTGGCATGGTCTAACTCGTGGGTCGGCAACCAAAATAATAAGAAGAGCCATTTTTCTCGAATTCAGTAAAAAAATATTCCAAGAGCTGCAATGCGTGTGAATATGCGAGACGGCGGTCCTTAATAAATAACGTCACAAAGTAGTCCTTAAAGAGCCACATGCGTCTCCAGAGCCACAGGTTGCCGGCCACTGGTCTAACTGGATCACAGGCGTGCATCACTACTTGCATCACATAGGCTCATTGTTGAGTACGATTATGTTCATGCTACTGAAATTGATAAAAAATATATATATTACAAAGCTTTGTGATGTAAAGTTTTGCTTTGGACTATCCCTCCCCCAGGACACGACACTACGGGGGGCATTGGAGCCTGCGCTGTCCAGGCCAGATGAGCGCACTCTTGCCGTTCGGCTCCATCAGCAGTGGCTCGTGCAACAGAACAGGTGATTCCCACGCTCACAGATCACAGCAGAGGACCCTGCCACCCAAGTAGCTCTGAAGCCCCTGGGTTTCAGAGCTACTTGGGTGGTGTCTGCTTCTGTGGGCTGTTCTTCAACACAAAGGGTTGCACTGCGAGAGATTCGAATGACGCTGAGAGCACAGTTGGGATAATACTGAGGGAAAGGGCAAACAAATAAGTAATGAGCAACCCATCCAGCTATGAAGTCGAAGTGTTCTTTATGAAATTATTAATCTGTGCACATTTTCAATGTATTCTGGCGATTTGCGTCAAATGCTGGGCACTTGCTTTTCAAGTGAGATTGCTGCTTTTGTTTAATTTCCCTATATTTTTTAGTTTGAATGGACAGGCTGACCAGTGCACTTTGACCATCATACACAGTAGCTCGTTTGCCTCCTCACAGGATGCATCAGCAGTCTGTTGAGGATGCCCGTGAGAGACTCAAGGAATACCAGGAGGTGCTCAAGAAGAGGTACTCTGCCATCTTCAGCTCTGCGCCACCCACTGCTCAACCCGTGGCCATTCCTTCACCCCCGGTCGCTGCAGCTGCTGCCCCGCCATCACTTCCTGTCAGCGGCCCGCCCCGGGTGGCAGCACCTGCTGCCGGCGCCTCACCGCTTGCGCCCGACAGAACCGTTGGCGCGTCGCCCTCGGGCGCGGAGGCGTCGCGAGCGGCGATGTTTTTGGACAGGCAGTTGACGGGAACCGACCGACCATGCGTGGACACCTCGCTGCTGCCGTCCCCACGGCCAGCCGCTCCTTCGCTTCCGCTGAGCACGGCGGCCTCACCCGTGGAGCTTTCGTTCGAAGGCCGCGTCCCGGCCTCGCCCTCTCGGCCGCGACAAGCCCAGCTTGCGTCCTTCGTGCCCGCTGCGTTCCCGCTCGGCAAGCCGCGGCAGCAGAGCAGGGTGACGGTCCCTGGTGCCGAACCGCCGCGACGGCAAACGCAGTCTGACGCTCGAGCACAGGTAGCGCGTGGCACCACGGCCTTGTGGCGGGGACTTCTGGAACCCCCCACTGCAGTGGAATTGACAAACCCCAAACAACTTGTCCCGTTCGAGGGAAAGTCCTCGACGATGCCGGAATCTACGTCACGAGGAATGCTCAACTTCGAGCCGGACGAGGGAGGGGCGGCCGCCCCCAGCGTGGGACCGCGGGGCCGAGCGGTTCCCTCGTGGCTCGCCGGGCACTGGAATTCCCTTGCCGGGCGAGCGGCGTTGCCAACCGAGCTTGAGGCGCCGTCGCCGGTGGACTCCAATCCCCCGTGGCCGGCGGAATCTGCACCTCGGCCGTGGGATGCCCGGAAATTGCCAGCGATGCCGACTCACAAATGGGAGGGCGAGGGCGAAGTGCAGAGGTGGACGCAGGGCGCTCGGCAAGACGAGGAAGGAGAAGGAGGAGTGTGGAGCAGCAATGAGGGGGTGCAGCAGCAGCGTGACCTCTCTCGCTCCACAGAGGAGGTGCGGTAACCACATTCTGTAATGTAATGTCATTTGTCGTATTGTGCTTGCAGCAGCTGTGTACAGCCTTTGTAATATATAAAGTGCTTCCACTATTTTTGATATTATATACCTGCAGCAAGTGTAATGCTTTCCTATTATGTTTGTTAAGTTCTTGTGGTGCAAGATAAGTTGCCTAATCAGTCTTGGAATAGTTTGTGTCAATGTATGATTAAGAATTTTTTTTACTGAAGTAAATTGTTGGGTGTGTCAAGAGCTCATGACAAAATCACCTGTAATGTGCCTTTTTATCTTCACATTCCGAAAGCTAAGCAGGTTTTACACCTCGATGATGCTTGCATGCCCACTATGCAAATGGTTGTTATAGTTTGCAAGGCTACGTGGTGGGCAGCAGAGGTACACTGCATCATAATCAATCATGTGACTGTACCGCTATCCTCCCAACCCGCAGTAACCAACATGGTTAAGTCTGGTCACATAACTTCTGTGGCCCGCAGCACGGCATGGGGAATTGCTCGCTCGTCGGTAGATTCACAAAGGGCTCCACGTGCAATCATATACAACTGTACACGTGTCATGAGCTTAAGGATTGATGTTCATAAATGAATCGATGCAATTTTCCACAGCCATTGGATAAGATCTTGATTTAGGGATTTAACGTCGGTAGTCTACACTTGTACTGCTTCATGGTCTTTATGCCTGGGCGGTGGTGGCTATGGCACGCCTGCAATCCACCACTGTGGAAGCGATGTTGTTGAATCCCACATGTTGTGAAGCTGCCTTCCTGTGGGCGTCAGTGTGCCATGCCCTGGTTCGCCAGAAGAAGATGGTATAGCAAGTGGCCTGATTTCCGTCTGTTTTCATCTGTACGGGGAAATTAGTGTAACCCGCTTTCGCACCCTCCGGTTTCCTCCCACACACGTGCTTAAATTGGCTGAAAACATCTCGAAATAAAATGTAATAACCCAATGCAGGACCCTCCTAAATAGTCATTGGACTCGATGTTTCTTTCCTGGTAAATAAGTAATTATTATTATTAGTCTGCCATCGTCGGTTTTAACAGCACGGGTTTGTCTCCCTGCCTACATTGCTCGCTTACCGGTGCTCTGACGCACATGGAGATTTAACATGCGTGCGTTTGGTCATCACAGATTGGCGTCGGCGGTGAGAGGCCGGAAGCCGCGTGGGAGCACTCTGAGCTGGCTCAGCGGTACGACCTAATGTCTTCCCTGTTCCGAGCCCTGGAGGGGCCCGGTAGCGCCAAAATTCCGGAGCGGAGCCATCCACAGGAGCTGGACCACATTGGTGAGGAGGCAACGGAGCGCGGCGCCTTCAACTGCTTATCTGGTGAGCGTGGGGACGTCCGTGGTCATGACCCAACATTTTAAATCCAATCTCTTTGCCTCTGTCAGAAGTCTGCCTATCGGTTTGAGTAAGATTTTCTGAATTGTAGTTTGGATGAAGATTGTCGGGATGTTATTTATACTACATTTAGGAGGTGTTGGGTTTGCAAGCATTTATCTTGGGCAAATGTCCACGTAGCCTTTGAACTGGAGTCGGCAGATCAAAAGTCAATGTGCAGAAATGGGGTTACTCGAGCGACCCTGACAGCCATGTGACTGCGGTGAGACACAGACCATGGAGCCTCTATTGGCCTGCCAACCCTTCTGGAGAAGCCTTGCACTGTTGAGGACCTCCCCAGGGCTACAGACTGGGCCACAGCATCGTCATCTTGTGCCTGATTCTGTAAAATCCGTTAACTGTGGTGGCAAGACATGAGAAGCAGTCCTTTGGTATTACCACAAGCATAGTTTGCTCCTGGATTGTTGTTATTAAAATGTAAACATTATGGTTTGACGAGGTAATGGATCTGAGTGTCTTCCTGTTGGAATATCAGTCTCATTCCGATAAGTGTAAAATAAAAAGGCAGTTCAATTTGCCAAACACTCTAAAATACAATAATTCTAGTTTATTACATTTTTCTCAATACAGTAACCTAGTGAAATAAAATACATGTTGGCGTTACGCATGTTGAACTTCTTTTGCATTGTACGGAGCCAACCGTGTTAATCGTAGGTGTGGGGGAAGAACAACAAACTAAGCACAAAAATCAGTTCTAAAGAAGCGTCTAAATGCCTCTCAAGACATCCAGAAAGGTAAACAATTGCTTATTTTATGGAGGCAGTCCTAGGCAGAGGAAACCGCATGGAACTTACACTTGTTCAACACAAATGACATTGTAATGCGGTAGCCACATAGCCTCTGGTGTTGCTGCTCATGCTGGTGTCTGATTTGCGTCTCGCCACCATGGCGACCATAGTGGCGACATGTTGATTGCCTCGCCTGGTATACAGGAGGTCTTTGCTTCGATCCTGACCCTGACGCCTGTATATTTGTAGTTTGCATGTTTCTCTTCCCATGGTCGCATGGATTTTTCTCCAGGTCTCTCCGGCTTATCCCTCCACATTTAAAATCATGCATTCAGAGTATTTGGCTGCTATACATTTCCATATAATAAGCCGCTTCTTTGAGCTATAATATGTGGCCAAGTCGCTTCTGAAAAATATCTGTATAGCTCAGTGAGTCTTACTTGGTTAAAGAAAAAAATGTTTTAGTTGGTTGTATTGGTGTCGTGCCCGTGCCTCAGAGGGCGAACCGCTGCCGGCCGCCGTACCGCTTCTATCCGGAGCTGGCGGGCTCGCGGTGGGCGTGGATTCCGTCTTTCACCTGGGGCGGCCCGTCCGCGAACGGCCCCCCGTGGCCCGCTCACGCCTCGGCCTTCTGGGACTCATCGAGCAGCATGAGCTGAGCGCCATCCAGGAGGTGGACACGCCGCGCAGCGACAAGCAGCGCTCTGCCCTCGGTCAGCACCCGCCGTGCACCCACACTCCACTGACACGTGCATCATCGTCACATACACCGGCTTCTCTCGTCCACACTCCACTGACACGTCCACTCCAGGGACGTGCGGTCAGGGGAGGCAGGGGAGGCAGAGCCTCACCATACTCCAATGAAAATAGCTGTTACGAAAAAAAGAATAATCAAATAAAATAAATATTAATATTTTTCCACTGATCTGTGTTATAAATGTCATTTCTGTACGATTCGAATTATTTTTATAGTCAAAATTGCCAAATTTGCGGAGCTCCGCTGCAAATACAGGAAGAGACGAGAGGTGAGGCAGCGACAAGCTCAGCTTCCCCTCTGATTGCGCAACCCCTCAGTAACTGGATGGAGCGCGGGTAATAAGCGCAAGCCTGTTACTATCTCAGTATGTCACCAATGTAATGTTTTTAGACCCCTTCATTTCATGTCCTCGCCTTCCATACTCCAGGTAACTTATTTAACATATGTGTATAAAGATGTTTAGGCTCGCTGGTCTCGTTATAAAACTGCAATGAAAAAGCACCAGGGGAGGCAGCTATCACATCTGCCTCACTGAGGGGAACGCGTCTAACACGCCTCCCTCCGTGAGGCCACGCCCCCTCCGTGAGGCCACGCCCCCTCCGTGAGGCCACGCCCCCCTCAGTGTGTGAATCTGGCTCTGACACCAGCCAGTGCCTCCCCAACCATTGACCTCACCGCATGTCACTGGTCCACTCGTCTGATCTTGCAAAGTGGTCGATGAAACTGTTGTGCAGACGCTACTATTTTCTTCTTTCACAAAACCAGATATTACTGCCAGTTGCACAGCTATTTAGATTCGTCAATAAAAAGCAAATTTATAATTTCTGTACATTTTCATTGACATTTATAATGCTTTAGGAATTTAAAAAAAATGCTATTGTTGCATGGTGTTTCGTGAAAAACCTTTGGGGGTTGACAGTACCCTGCGGATCTAGAAAGGATGGGTAACCACTGTTTGAGAAGTGAGCTCTCTAGAGCTACCAGTAATGTCGTGAGCAAGTCACAGCAGGGCTGCACCTTGACTGCATCTGTGTGACTGGACGTAACAAAACACCCTTGCCATGGCGCCACTGCTGTTTAATTTAATCGCAGGCCTGGGTGGCTCGTTGCTGGAAGCGACCGCGGACAGCGAGTTTGGGGCCTCGTGCCGGGAGAGACTGCGTTTCTCCGGCGCCCTCGGTGAGGATGAGGTTGAGGAGCTGGGCGAGGACAACTCGTACAGGGACGGGCGACTGGAGGCGTCGTCTCGGGTCTCGGCCGAGGGACGTCCGCGCTCGTACTCCCCGGGCGACTCCGTCTACGGTGACGGCGGTGACGGTCGCAACTGGAGGGACGTACTGCTCGCTCCGTCCAGCAGCACGTGGGACGGTAGGTCCCGCCTCACTTCTCGCTACCCACGTTGAGTAAACTTAAACTAAACTTAACTTAAACTATATTTATTTTACCAGGTAAGGCTCACTGAGCTATATCGCGCTCTTTCAGATGCGACCTAGCCACAAATATTAGCTCAACAAAGTGGCTTATCACATGGATATTTATAGCGGCAGAATTCTCTAAACGCGTGATGTTGATTCTAAATGTGGAGGGAAAAACCGGAGGACCCCGAGAAAAATCCATGCGAACACGGGGAGAGCGGCGTCAGGGTCGGGATCGAACCTATAACCTCCTGTATACCTGGTGAGGCAGTTCAAATCTTGGCGGCCTGGTGCCTCAATGGTCGAATAAGGTCATGGTCGTTATCGAGTTCAGCATCATCATTGTCTGTGTCATGAGCTTTTTCCTCGGCATCATTATCATAATCATCATTACCATCATCAGCATTGTCGTCACTCCCATTGTCATCAGAATCATCATTATTAGCATTTTCATTAGCATCATCATCAGTATCAGTGATTGCCTTTGGACTGCTGGATGAAACCCAGATGTCGTGATTGCTCATATCTGCAATGTCACAATCTGTCTCACTTATGCACATGAACTGATCCCATCGTTCCTGCAACTTGTAGGCGCCTGCAAGTTGCAGGGTGGGTCCCGTTCATAGCTTAATGTTGGAACGTCTAAGTGGTCAGCGGTAATTTTATTTGGAGATTTCTAGCACCATTTTTCAAGACATTGTACTCCCCACAAAGAACTATAGTGACATGACCGCACTCTACAATAACTTTTTCGCTGAAGTTATTTTATAACTTTATCGGTGAAGTTATTTTATAACTTTATCGGTACCGAGGCTCCCATGTATGTTATCGGAATGGGTAAGGGTTAAATATTTGGATATTCCTTCTCTAACCTTGTCCTGTTCCATTTTCCAGGTTCAACTCAGTCACCTGCAGTGCCGCCTGGCATTTCCGCTGACGTGAGCCTGGGAATGCCATCTTTCTTCAACGGAAGCCGTCTCCCACACACCGAGGTTTCCACTCTCTTCCTCGCACATGTTGTGGTTGTGCACTGCGGTAATGTCTGTGTCGCGATGTTACGCATCGTTTCAACGCGGTCGTTACTGCGGGATGTCTACCGCAAGCGCCAACTCTGCTCCTTCAGCGTCGTTGGTTTCACGGCGAAAGTAGAATAGAAGCAGCGGAAGTAAAAGTGTAAAGAAGGTTGAACAGGTTCAGGATTCTCTCTGAACTATAATGTCATGTATTTATATTGAACTTCTTTCGCACCGTACGTAGCCAACCTTGCTAATCGGCGGTGCGGGGGAAGGACAACAAACTAAACACAAAAATCTGTTATAAATAAATTATTTTTCACTCTCATGAAGAGCCTATTTTATCAAAGGATGATAAGAATCAATACAAGTCAAGTGAGTCATGGTGGCACCCTATTGACATCCCTGGTTTTAATTCCCCAGTACCGTGATGTATTGAGGAAACGATAACTGAGCACCTGACCATGATTTTAAAGTATTTTTGTTTGTTCTCATTCGTAACGCTTTAAACTTGTTGGAAAGCCCAGAACACACCGTGTGTGCCTGCATGAAGTATTTGTTTTTTGGGTTAAAATTTCCGTAAATGCTCAAATATGGCTGTGTTGTGATTTCACATCGCGTGCAAGGCATGATGGGAAGACTTAGTTTCACAATCGGACCTTTTGCTGTCTAGAAATCGCCGTTTGCATGTGTTTTTATTTTCAAAGTTGGTGTCTGTCCGTTGACGCTTGTGTGGATTTTGGCTGTTGCCAGACGGTTTGTGGACCTACAGTGCTTTGTCCCCTCGGAGGCCAGTGATGGCTGCAGCATCGCAGGCCAATGATGAAAACTTAGCCAAATCTGACCCTGCTTCTGGGCCCCGCGCCCAGAGGAGAGTGGGGCTGATTGCTCATTCCCGAGAAAAGCATTACCTCTGAGCCCGAGTTCACGTCTGTCTGTGTGTGCGTGCGTGCGTGCGTGTGTGTCCGCGTATTTGTGTGCATATTTGCACATGTCTTTGTTGTTTTCACTTTGTGATGGTGGGTGTTGTGTTGTGTGTATAGTTGCCCTCTTTTGTTTTTCTCGCTGTGTATTGTCGGCGTGTCGGTGTGCTGTGTAACATGGAAGTGTGTTTTGCATCTGAGCAATGATGACCATAAACTGTTCTCGACAAGAGACTGCCAACGTGCAGACTCCCCCGTGAAGTTCTCTACACTTGAACTGAGCTCAGATGCAGGCCACTGTTTGTTATTATCCATTGTCACTCATTGATACGGTGGACCTTTCATTTCACAACATGGCTTATTCACCAACATCATAAGGCAAAATAATGTTGATTTAGTTATTCAGAATGTATGTATGTTGAACTTCTTTCGCACCCATACGTAGCCAACCATGCAAATTGGAGGTTCGATTGTAAAGTAAGAGGACTACAAAAACCTTGGTCTTGCTTCAAGGACAATGTTTGAAAATCTTAGAAATGCTTTTGAGCTCACTCAATTATCTCGTTATACCACATTTTACTTTTTTGTCAAATAAAAAAAAACTATTGGACAGCAGTACACAAGTACACTGCCGAGTGAATAAAGGGCGTTGTTATTATTCTTGGTTCTTTCGGTAAAGTCACGTAGAAGGGAAACAATAAAATAATAAAATTATAAAACAATAAAATTATCACGACGTTTCGACTGCAACACAAGCAATCATCATCAGGTGTGAAAACCACAGCAAGAAATTTTATTATTATTTATTAATGGAATTGCTGTTGCATTTCTGTCACCACGGCTGTACACGTCTCAAGGCATCTCCCAGCTACATGGAATGGCAGACCCCCGCAGAGGCCCGGGCCTCCCTGGGGAAACATGCAGCCTCTTCTCCCTCGGCCTCTCCTCCCTCGGCCGAGTCCCCCGCAAGCAGCGAGTCTCTGGCCACCACCTCCCCAGCCTTGGGCGCCATCTCCAGCGGCAGCCTCGTCTCGCTCTCCAGCGGCCGGCTGAGCCAGGGTGAGTGGCACGCTGCCGAGAGGTAATAGCAGTGAAGGCTGCGTACGGCGGTAGCGATGGTGTGACTACGTGCTGGAAGCGGTGGCGCAGTGGTTAACGTGCTGCACTTAGGACCCGGTGTCCGGGGTTCGATTCCCCCTCATGGGCAACACCGGTGACGGTTATCTGAACCGGTACTAGGGCTCTCCTAGCTCAATTCGGCCTCAAATAAGTATCTGGTGCCGTGTGTAAACATTGTCACTAGGGAGACAAGCCGTCAGGGCGTGGTGCTGGCCATCCACCCCCTCGTGTGCCGTGCTGGCCTTCGTAGGTGCTACTCGCTAACAGCGCTCGTACCTGCCATTTGCTGAGGCTATAAGGGTGATTATTGGTGGGGTGGCCGTTAGGGTGATCCTTGGTGGGGTTGCTAAGGATTTAGGCTATGTGGTGCTGCAATCTAATGGTTTGCCAAAGAGCAGGGGTAATGAAGCTTTCTCTGACTGAGGGCCCAATAGGCCTTTCAAATACTTGTTTACACAGTAGACCTGCAGTCTACAGGTTGTTGCTTCGATCTCCCTTCGTGGCAGTTGAAACAATGGGAAATGTGTCTTCTTGGTCCACTCCCCCTGTTGCTGTCCTCCCAGATGTAGGCACACACAGAATTGAGAGATTGCGTGCAGTTAGAGCAGGGGTCGGGAACCTTTTTGACTAAGAGAGCCATGAAAGCAAAACATTTGGAAATTTATTTCAGTGAGAGCCATATAATATATTTTAAAAGTGAATTCAACTAAATGTCAGTATAATAAGCCTCTGAATTTATTCTTTTAAATAATGTTGTTATAACACTCACCATTAATGCGACTTCTGGTGCTGCATGGATTTGCTGATGTCTTTGTAGTCGGGTTGGTACTTTGTAGTCGGGTTGGTACTTGGTGAGGTTAAGCTTCATGCAAGCGTTGAGGCTTTCATCCGTTAAACGTGATCGTAGGTTGGACTTGATGTTTTTAAGATGTGAGAATGACTGCTCACATGCATACGTAGATCCAAACATGGTCAATACAGCAATACTCACACGCTGCAGTGTGTGGTATGTGACAGGAAGCGCGTTCCAAGTTTTGAGAATCAGCTGGTCTTCGGGTTGGAGTTTTTTCATTTCTGTCCACATGTGCTTGCTCGCCAACTCCGCTTTCTGTCGTGTGATTCTTTCCAAATCTTCATTCAGTGACTTGAACTTATTCACCCACATGTCTGAGGCCTTCAGGTCAGCCACTTCTGCTTCAAAATCTCTGACGGAGACACCAGGGATGTAATTCAGGTCGGCTGTGTTCAGTGAACACTCGTTTGGATGGGTGATGAACTTAAAAAGACGAGTGTGCTCACGAAATTCTCCAAAGCGTGCTTTGAAGGACTGTAGGAGACTGGATGTGCAGCCAGCTAGCTGGTGGAGATCAAGGTTTTGAATGGGCTCACTTGCTGTGCATGCATCTTTAAATTGGCTCAGTTTTTCAAAATGTAGTAAACGACCTGTTTCAAGATCCGTGATGAAAAGCTCCAGCTTGTTTTCAAAAGCAAATGCAGCTTGTTGAAGGGATAACACTGTATTTCCAATGCCTTGCATTTTCACGTTGAGCTGGTTCAGATGTTCAGTCAGATCTACGAGATAGTAAAACTTGAGGAGCCACTCGGTGTCGGCTAGCTCAGGATGCCCGACGCCTTTCATTTCAAGGAAAGTCCGGATTTCGTTCAGGCAAGCCGCAAAACGGCTAAGCACCTTCCCTCTTGACAACCAACGCACATTGCTGTGCAAAAGCAGACCAGGATAGTTATTTACAACTTCATCCAGCAGTGTTTTAAACTGGCGATCATTTAAGGCTCGGGCAACAATAAAGTTGATCACACGAATGACCAGCGACATCACTTCGCCAAACTGCCTGTCACACATCTGAGCACAAAGTGCCTCCTGGTGTATAATGCAATGGAAACTTAGGATGGGTCTATTTTCATGTTCACGGAGAAGCGCCACAAATCCTTTGTTTTTCCCCACCATACACGGAGCACCATCAGTACACACTGAGAGAAGTTTATCCATAGGTAGACTTTTTTCTTGAGCAAACTCCATGAAAGACTTGAATAAATCCTCACCTCTTGTGGACCCTTTTAATGGCAGAACAGCAAGACTTTCTTCGCGCAGTGTGTCACCAACAGCATATCTTGCAATCACGCTGAACTGCGACAAATGGCTCACGTCTGTTGACTCATCCAAAGCCAGAGAAAAGAACGGCGCTGCATTTATGTCCTTCAATTGCGTTTCCTCCACTTTGTTTGCCATCACGATGGAACGATCATGAACAGTTCTTGCCGACAGAGGCATGTCTTGTATCCGTTTGATTATCTTGTCTTTGTTCGGAAGATCATCAAAAAGTTCATTGGCTACATCCAGCATGAACGTTTTAGCATACTCGCCATCTGTGAATGGTTTTCCGTTCCTCACTATTGCTAAAGAACCAGCAAAGCTAGCCGAATTATAGTCACCTTGCCGGGTCCATACGCGGAGTTGCTGCTGGCTAGCTTGCACCCTGCTCAGCTCTTGGCACGCTTTCTTTCTGCTGTCTCCCGCAGGGTATTTTGATGCAAAGGTAGCGTGGCGCGTGTCGAAGTGCCGCTTTACATTCGACCGTTTCAACGATGTAATTTTGTCATTGCAAATTAGACACACCGCAGAACCCGCTCTCTCCACAAAGGCGAATTCTTCGGTCCATTCGTCCTGAAATGTACGATACTCGTCGTCTTTTTTTCTTTTCGCCATCTTCTTCGTCGAAGGGTTAGCTTTGAGCTAATGACCGAGCAGACGCAGTCTCAGACTGATTCAAAAGGGGGCGTTTACCTGTTTTACCCAGCAACGGCAAACGTAGGCCAGTATCATCCAATTAAAATAATGGACAATTGCTCCTGCAGCCCTGAACAGGACATGCGCAGTGAAAAATCGATGGATGGATTAAAACAAGTGAGAATATTTTGTTTTATCTGCGAGCCATATGCAATCATCAAAAGAGCCACATCTGGCTCGCGAGCCATAGGTTCCCGACCCCTGAGTTAGAGTTTGGGTACTCCCACTTCATCCAAGACGTTTGGCCAGTGTAAAAGAGTAGGCCATACAATGATAATAATTGACACTAATTAGGTGTCTTTCACAATGTCTCAAGGTGTTGTGCATCAAAAGGACAACGAATATAAATAAGGAACCGGTTGGCAACAGAAGAGCCAGAGAGGAGCAAAGCCAATTATAGGAAGGCTGTTTTAAAAGAGACGTATTTTCAGTTGGGAAATATCAACACTGTCGGAGAGCCTGATCTCCAATGGTCGGGAGTGCCACATTCCAGGGGGGGCACCAGTCTGGAGTTCCACAACCGGGAGGCCACCAGTAGGAAGTTCCACCACCGGGAAGCCACAAGTAGGTAGCTTACTGTAGTTTATAGGCCTTTCTGCCAGCAGTGGTGTGAGTAGGCAATTGCAGGGCTGCACCTTTACCATGTTAGCATTTATTATAATTTATTTTATTTGAACGGATGCTGCATGTCAATTGATAGAAACGCTTGGGGAAGACGGGGCGCGGGAGGTCTGGGCGAGGCCAGCTGCCACCGCGGACGGGCCGCGGGGCCCTCCGGCCACACCAGGCAGTCGCCTGGGGCCCGGAGGCCAACAGGGAGACCCTGACTGGATGCTCTTGCCACACGGCCCGCACCGTGCCGCCCCGTCTGAGCACAGCTCCATCTACGAGATCATAGCCAAGTACACGCAGCCAAAGCACCAGCAGCAGGGTGCCCAGCCGTCGACGGAGCCGCGCGTCGCCCCCTCGCACGGTGAGTCCTTGCTGTGGCCCTGCTCACCGATGTTAACTACCTTGCCTGGTGGTATACAAGATGTCATGGGTTCCATCCCAACCTTGACGATGTCTGTATAAATCTTGACTTAAAGCTTTCGTGACTGCAGGAATTCATATTCTTTGGGTCTTTCGGTAAAGTCATGTAGATAGGTTCAAAGAAAATAACAAAAAACTAGGACGTTTCGATGGCAACACGAGCATTCGTCATCTCTCTCCCCGTAGTCACGTGTATTTGTCTCCGGGTCCTCTGGTTTTCCTCTCCACATCGAGAATCAACTTGCGTTTAGAGTAATTGGCTCCTATACATTTCCATGTGATAAGCCACCTTGTTGAGCTATCGTTTGTGGCCAGGTCGCTTCTGAAAAATAGCTATTTAGCTCAGCAGGCCTTACCTGGTAAATAAAAAAAAAAGTTTAGTTTTAGTTCCAGGCATGTCTTCTGAAATTACATGTGCCGGCTTGTATTGCGGAGTAGATATAAAGTGGTTGTGCAGCAGTGCGCACAGTGGTTAGTGCGCAATTTGCCTCTAAACCCGGCATCCCGCACTCACCAGCGTAGTGAGTATGGTCAAATAACCCTCGAAACCTGCACGGTGCTTGGAGGCTTTTATCCTAGCAGTGAATTGACAAAGGGCGTTAGGCATACGTAGACATAATGACATCACGGGACCTACCTGGGCATAATGACACGTGTACGAGAGGAGATGTTGTTCATCGCCCTCTCGGCCACACCTCCACCACGGCCGGCAGAGCCTCTGGCGGAGCACCCGGAGTCGACCGACACGTGGGACCCCAGTTTCGATGCGGGGCTGGACTTGAGCCGCGCGGACGCTGGGGCCCTGGAGTTTCAGCCTCTGGCCGCAGGGCCCGACTACACCCTCGACACATCCTCGCTCGCCGGCGACACGCGCCCCTCGCAGGTTCACTCTGCCGTGCGTTTGTCGCTTTTGCTTTGATTTAACAAACGCTATCTTGGACGTCTTTCCATTAGACGAAGAAATCACGAGTGCCTCTCGCAGGCTTGTGTGCAAACATGTGCGTTCGAGAACGGCCCGCTGAAGTGGATACCGCCGAACTGCGAGTGACCTCTCGTCTAGACAGTAGAGGGCAGTACTTTCCCACTCTTCTACTGGGGACAATTTTCTTTGCGTCGCATTCAAACTTATATTTTTAATTCTCATAGCTGGAATTGAGACCTTCAACTCGCTACGCTTGAGAACCCAGTTTAATAATAGCCCCTGGTGTACGATGAGGAAGATTGATGAACTTTTTGACTGTGAAGTAAATTTGTGGAACTGTCACCGATGTATCGACTTGTGCCTCCACCGTCTCCTCTTCCAGAGTCTGGCACTGTCTGGCACCGGTTCAGGGCTCAGTCGGATCTCGGGTACGTTGTCCGACTCGTCTTGCCCGAGCGCATCCCTCTCATCCGCGCTGAGTGTCGCGTCTAGCCACCCTGGACATCGCGAGCCCCAGTCCAGGGAGCCAGGTAAGACCCCCTGGGTATCACAGTCGGTTTCACCCGAAGTGTTTTAAACCACGATAAAAGCTCACGAAGCTAGACAAAATAATTTGTGTTGTGGTTCACACACTGCACTGGGAAGCCAGCAACCAGAGTTTGATTCCCAGCCATGGCTAACATCAGTGGCGAGCGATATATCTGCATTGGTACTGGTGCCAACCCATGCTGACCAGTTTGGTCTGGTATGATTAACAACCCCCCATTGACAAAAGGCTAACACTTAAACTAAATGTATTGTGGCACTGTTTTTAAGAACTTAACTTCATGACCACGCGCGCAGGATTTTGACGTTTTGCTCATCGCATGACAGGCGAGGACGACGACCCCTCCTTCCGGGCGCTCCTGCCGGAAATGACGCTGCACGATTGCAGCCTGGCCACACAAGACACCTCATCCAACTCCACCCCTTCCGGTGCCTCGTGCTCGGTTAGCAGTCCCGCGGGGTTGGTCGTGGCTGAGGGCGGCGCCTCCGACACGTCACACGTGGCGCTGGGGCCCGACGAGGGGTCCTCCGGCGGGAGTGCGGCCACGCTCGTGTCCGTACCGAGTCGGTCTTTGCCGCCGGCCACGGGAAGCCTCCAGCGAAGCTGTACGTTCGCAGCATCCGGAGAGACGCAGCAACCGCCCCGTGGCGACGACGACAGCGTATCGGCTCGCAACACGGACACCACCGGAGCCTCTGACCGACCGAGTCCGGACGCGTCGTCGCTCCCTGAGCAAGCACTCCTCGCGACGGACGACTCGCCCTTGAGCGAGTACACGCTGGCGGAACACTCCAGCAGCGCCACCGCGCGGTCGGATCCCGAGCTCAACCGCGCCGATTTCCGGGCGTGCGCCGCACTCAGCGACTACGGCAGCAGCTTTTGGAGTTTGAGTTCGGATTTCGGCGGCGGCGGCAGCGGAGTCCCGGCAGCGGCAGCGGGCGGGAGCAGCCGGGCCGACGAGCGCGTGTGGTGTGAGCTGGCGAGCAAGCGGGAGGGAGGCGCGGGGGCCGGGTGGGACGTGCTATCATCGGGGGAGCTGGGACAGCAAGAGGAACTCCGTCGGATGGATTCCTCAGCTTCGTGGAGCCAGAATCTCTCACTGCTGCTCGCCTTCCCCGGCACGCGTGTGTGGGTGCGTACGAACTGCGTGCAGCCGATCGTGCGCGCATTTTAAATACGATGTGCGCGTCATAGTGCGTGTTTGCTAATCGACTGCAAAGCTTTGTAACATATCACCCCATGTGACTGCATTGTCATGATGCGGATTCACGATTCAATTCTTAAACATTTTATATTTAGTTTTTGCCTTTGTGTTGTGTGTATTGTTCCTCCTTTTTTTGCCGATTTAACCTAAAATTACCGTGAGGACATTAGCATATAGTTTTCAAAAATCTAAAAATATATACATTTTTACACATGAGCATAAACATTAATTGTAATATATGAATTGATGCAACGTTACACATGTCGGATTTCATACAGACCGACTTGGCACTGCCAGGAACCTTCATTGCTGGCGGTGGGGGCAGTGTATGAATAAGCAGCTGGAGTGTGGGGGAAGGGTGTGTGAGGGTGTGGAGTAGAAACTACCCTCAGCAAGCGTGGGAGGCTTAACGCTGCCCTCCCCTCTTCCTTCTCCCCCACGCGGGCGTCCAGGACTCGGGCCAGGAGACCGGGATCCTGGAGGAGCCCGAGTTGACCCTGGTGACCCTGACGGACACTGAGTCGAGCGTGCAACATGAGCTATCGCTGGACGTGACGCTCGAGGGCGACACGGTAAACAGACGCACATGACCGGCGATATTCCTTGTGATCGCTCCATGTCGTTGTCTCCGTCGAAGCTGTCAGGTTTACTGTACGACGGGACGTGAAGTTTGTTTTTTTATGATGGTTGCTGAGCACAGGCCAAAAACCCCCTAAATATCAATTGTTCAGCAGCAAACAGCACATTTGAAGGTGTAATTGATAAGAGTTAATGTTTTATTTTTTTACTGAGCAAGGTTATAAAAACTTGGGTAAAAAGACAATGGGAGGGAATTATGTGGATTCAACAAGTGGATCGAATTAACCACATCATAAGACTACGTTGCCAGCAAAAGGGGTGTTAGATAAAAAAAATATTGTACTGTATCACTTTGTAACGTTTTTGCTGCCCGCCTTCAACCACCCCGAACTGGCCAGCGTGGTGAAGAGTGAGCAAATATCCCCCAACGAACCGGAACACTTTGGGAGGCCTTTATCCAGCAGTAGATTGACATGTGTGATTCATCCATCGAGAGGGCTTATCTGAGCCTCACCTATGTGTTGACTTGGCCTTAAAAAATAAAATATCCTGGTGTTTTGCTTAAGTTTGGGGTTTTTTTTCGCACCCCTGATTATCACGGTTGGCTACATCCGGTGCGAAATAAATTTTCAAATACATACCATGGTATCATCACTGGGGAGACAAAGATGGCCAGGTATGGTGGTGGTCACATTCTACCCCCTTGTGTGCTGCCCCAACCTTAACAGGTGTTCTCCAACAGCTCTTATCCTAACATTGTTTAAGGCCCGATAGCCAGGGTAGAAAACCTACGGCCTATAGGATGGATACGGTCCGCCACTATATTGCATCCGGTTCACAGCCACGTGAGGACTACCACTTAGAAACGGCCTGCATACATTATTTGTAAGCATCCCAGCCGCATGGCTCGGGTAATAGAGGGGAATATTTTCGACCTGTTAACACTGCGTGCAGAATTTTCATGCAGTCACTTTTGGTCGCCGATAAGTTCCTCTTGCAGTGACTGAAGTGGGTATAAATGTCCAGCATGCCAAAAGTATTTACGATTCCTATTCGGCCCTCGGTATGTGAGGAAAAGGTTCCTCACCCGTGCTATATGGGATCGATCTTTGCGTGTAAATCTTCTCCCGAATTGACGATGCTATTATCTCGTTGCAGCAACCGCCTGCTGAGGACAATGAAGTAACGGGGCGGACGCCAGGCTGTGCCACTGATTCGCCGGGACAGCAGCAGCCGGGCCCGAGCACATCGCTTCAGTCGACAAGCGAAGGTGCGCGTCTCCGCTGGACGGTAACGCCTGCGTCGCCCATTCGGTCACGGGTACTGAGGAACCTTTGAGCCTAGCCAATGGTCACGCAGAGTGAGCCAGGAACGAGCTCATACAACTAAACTATTTTTATTTTACCAGGTAAGGCCCACTGAGCTATTTAGCTCTTTTTCAGAAGCATCCTGGCCACAAATGATAGCTCAACAAAGTGGCTAATAATGTGTACATTTATCGCAGCCAAATACTCTAAATGCACGTTTCTAAATGTGGAGGGAAAAACCAGAAGACCCGGAGAAAAATCCACAAGACCACAGGGCGAACATGCGAACTCCAGAGGGGTCAAATACTTATTTCCCTCATTAAAATGCAAATCAATTTATAACATTTTTGACATGCGTTTTTCTGGATTTTTTTGTTGTTATTCTGTCTCTCACTGTTCAAATAAACCTACCATTAAAATTATATACTGATCATTTCTTTGTCAGTGGACAAACGTACAGAATCAGCAGGGGATCAAATACTTTTTTCCCTCACTAATTCGCAACCTTGTGACTAAAACGTGTTGAGCACAGCGCAACCCTACCGTGCATGCTACAGTAGATTCTCGGTGAACCGTTAGGGAAGAGTCGTATGGGTTTGCAATTATTTCGAGGTTATATGAACAATATTAAACAATCCAGAATAGAGGACAAAGGTTACCTCGCTTTTAATGTTACATATGTTGCAAGAGAGATGTGTGTTGAGGAGCAGCAGTGTAGCGGTTAGCACTACGCTGCGCTACGAACCCGGCGACCCGTGTCGCCGGGTCACTGGCCAACACCAGCAATAATTATCTGGACCGGTCATGGGCCTCCCCTAGGTCGACTCAGCCTCAAATAAGTACCTGGTGCGGTGTATATAAAACACCACTGGAGAGATAACGGCGGCCGGGTGCGGTCTTGGCCACCCACCCCCTCGTGTGCCGTGACAACCTTCATAGGTACTCGCTAACAGCACTTGCCCCAATAGTCTATTAAGGCTATATGGGGGATCTTTGTCTTTGATGTCAGTACAAATTATTTTGACATGTTCAAATGGGAGGTGGCAAGGTGGTTCAGAGGTGAGAGATTGCTGAGCCGCCACTGCTGAGATCTTGGGTCCCAAATCCAGACAGTCGGCTGTGATTAAACCAAGTGCTCAAATGTCGAGAGTTGATGGTCTCAGCCTGGTCACCAACAACTGTACAAAAATCCATCGCAGCAAATTTGGTTCTGTTCTCAATTTTACTTAATTTCTGCTCCAGGAAATGAACATCAGTTTCACTGTCATCAGATGAACATTTACTCTCATATTTAGCAGAGCAGGAGGGAAAATGTGTAGTCACTTAAAAAAAATATCCAAGGTAGCTCTGTGATATCCGCTTCCTTATCAAACACGAGGGGTTGCACTTCTCTGCGAGAGATCCAAATTAATACTTTATCTCTTGACTTTACGCCGATAGCCGTCACCGGGATGAACTGGGGAAGTTATTTTTTAAACGTACAGACGCGAAAATTAAAGTTTCAACGTGTCTGCCTGCCAGTGGTCGTGTCGGGCTGCGGACACTCTGCTTCCAGCCTGCAGGAGGCGTTCCAGCGGAGGAAGCAGGGCTTTATCGTGCAGTCGGAGAAACGCGTGCGAGAGGCGAGGAGGAGAGAGCAGGCCGTGCCCAGCGCCACCGCCCAGCGCGCCAGGGAGCGCAGCGGCAGGGAGCGTGCGGGTGGCGCTGCCCCCACTAAGCTGGTCGACGGTGAGTCAGCTCGTCCCCCAGGTCTGCACGTCTCATTAACGTCGCCATCATTAACTATGATCTGTTCACTGCTGGATGAAGGCCTCCGCAAACCATCACCATATCTCTGTTTTCCCAGACCCATCTATTGACCGTTGTTGTACCTTTGCGCTCAAACAACCGTCCGTGTCAGAAAGAAAATGTTCTGCTTTGTTTCCATGGATTACATTATATAAGGAGTTTTTTTCTGCCCACATTGCCAGCGGGAGTGGCTATGATCTATCCACTGCTGGAAGTAGTTCTCCGTGAGCCATCGCCCTCTCTCCTGGCCACGCTATGCAACAATCCAGCTATTACCTACTTATGAGCTGCTTTCATTGCTCCATCTCTGCAGCAGACGTACTCTTTGCCATGTTCCCTCTTTTTGGCTGCCACTGTCGTTTGTCTTGACCATCGGCTATAAATCCCTTTTAGCGACGTGCACTACCCAAACCCACTTGCTTTTCTCAACGGTCAATATGACATCTCTACGATTGAACGAATGTCACGTGTGCGTGTTTGTGTGTGCGTGTAGTTCCCGTGTCTTCCCAGAAGTGCTCCCTGAAGAAGGTCGGGGAGGTAAAGGTGGTCACGTCCGCCGACAGGAAGAGCGCGGAGGAAGAGGCTGTCAAGAGGACGGCCAGGTACCTGGGCCCGTCGTGTGCGCTCGCGGGTTCTGTCTGTGATCTCACTGTCAGCGACACACAGACCGCGCTTCTTTGCGCTATGCATAAGACGGGCAGCATTTGAGTGCGTGCACCCAATCGCAAACAAATGCTACGCTACTATTATAATTGTTGTGCTTGTTTTACCCAGAAAAGCCTTGCTCAGTCTCAAGACTCTATTTGATGATGGGTCCTGCCAGGTTTTCGAAGTAGGGGCTCATGTTGCCATGTTCATTCCCAACTAAGTAACCTGCAGGCAACTCCTCAGCAGTGAGATGTTTGGCCAATTCCAGTTACAGTTTGCGTTTTCTCTGTGCTGCGGCTATAGGAGGAAAGCAGGTATAACCGAACTGAACTCCCACTCATCTCCCCCCCCCCACCTCGTTTGACATAGTGGACCACAGCTCTTGGGCTGGCTCACATCCGGCCCAAGGGAGGCCTGGCTGCTCACTAGGACTGAGAGCTCTTCTCTGTGACAGTAGCATGAGCAGCACAGGCCTGTCTTCAAAAGCACTGCTGTCTGTCATAATTGGTGAAATGTATCCGTGCTTGGTGTACAATGATGAGCAGGGCCGACAGTACATTTGACGACGTATATGCTAACACGTAAATGTGCAATTCACCAGGCATGTAATGATTCTTTGATTATAATTTATTCTTCATGGGGAGGTTGCCGGGTGACTCTGAGGCCAGAGCTGAGCTGCCACCGCTGAAGTTCTGAGTTTCGAATCCAGAAAGCCACCTGCGATGAGACTACCAATGGCTGCAACAAATTTCATGTAAAATGTGTTTCTACACATACATCGGATTAAAAACATATTGATGAACATAACTCTCTGTGGCAGTGACGGAGTTGGATAAATTGCCTCCCACGACTGTATGGAGCATAGTTCACTTGGAGGGGATCTCAGAGGTAGTTCTCCGGCATCCGCTTTTGTGTGCCATTTTCCAACGCGAAGAGTTGCCACTGCTTTGAATGAGAGGGATGTCACGGTGGCAAGATGTTAAATACCTCGCCTGGTATGCAAGAGGTTGTGGGTTCGATCCCAACCCTGACACCTTTATATTTTGAGTTTGCATGTCTCTCCACTCCTGGTTGCGTGGATTTTTCTCCGGGTTTTTCCCTCCACATTTAGAAACATGCGTTTCGTATATTTGGCTGATATACATTTCCACATGACAAGCCACTTCATTGGGCTGTCATTTGTGATAGCCAGCTCGCTTCTGAAAAAGAGCTACACAGCTCAGTGGGCCTTACCTGGTAAAATAAAAATAGTTTTTAGTTTACAATTCTGAAGGGATTCTTGGTCTTAAGACATGCCCGGATTCAAATCCAGGGATCTCACCGGCTGTGCCAGCTCAGCAGGGCTCTAACCTCCAAGCCTCTCGGCCACCTTGGGCATTTCTCACTTTGAGTGAATGCCACTGCAGGTTGTACGAACGGCTAGAGGAGGTAAAGAACAAGAGGGAGGCGGAGCAGAGGAAGGACGTGTATACCAGGAATCGCGAGAAGGCGAAGGCATTCCACCAGGTGAGAATTACGGCACAAACTACCGCGTAAATCTCCCTGATGGTACGTGTTGTATAATCGTGCTTCGAAGAATGTTGTACCTGCGCAACACTTTTTGAATATATTATATTCGAGATAACGGTGAAAAATGAAATAACCAAAATACTATATACTACAAATGAGTTGGCAAAATGAGACGGTATAAATTCAACTGCACAGTGGACCACCTGCAGGAGAGTGTATAGACAGAAAAGACTGTACTGACAGTAGAAATTAAAGTACAAAGGAAACGCATTAAAAGTACAAAAAAAATATGTTAAATTCAGTATCCAATCCATATTAACGTCCTCGCTGGCCTCTATTTGTGCTCAAAATGTCGCCTCTTATATTTTTATTTTAAGACCGCAGTGTCATTAACGAATTAGTTGAATTTTGTTTTTTAACACTGAAATTAGACTGACTACAAATGAGACAAACACAGGAATCAATTCTCGTATTGAATCGTGACCCCTAAATCGCGATGAATCATCGAATGATGGGAGCTGAATCATTGCACACGTCGTGCAAACCAACTCCCCATTGGTCTATTCAGTGGTCTATGAGCCACAGCTGAGAGTGAGCAGCGGGGCTCCATAATGTGAGTAGTTTGTGATCTGTGCCGTCGGATTTGGAATAATAGACTGAAGGGGCACATTTCCAAAGGGTTTTCACGAATCTATAAGCAGACTCCTCTGTATATTATGGACGTCAGGCTAATATTTATAACGCACCTTTTAAATAAAATGTAAAAATGAAAAACTCCAATGGTAGTCTTTCTGCAATCGTTACTGCTCGGAGTAACTTTGATGTTGGCATTCGCAAACCGCACTTCGCATAACTAATGTGTGCTCGTTTGTTTCTGATTTCTCTAGAAAACGCTGCAAAAATTGAGGAGCAAGAAGATGTAGCAGGGACGGGTATCGATTGAAATCGTGCACGCGAGTGTTTTTAATCTTGAACTATTTATTGACGTGTCCACTTAAATGTACCGTAATGATTCGTGTTTGTGTGGGAAAATTCCCTGTTTACAAAGTAGTCGTGGGCCTTTGGATGTGGCCTACACACATCCCGTCCAATGAACGCCGGCGGGATGTTTTGCTTGTGATATATTTATTCACGAAAATTACTTTACACAAACCTCCTCCCCCCCGCTTGAAGTGTTCCACACTGGGTGTAGTTCTCATATTGATACAGCACCGAGACTATTCTGTTTTCTTTAAGCTGTAGCATTTGAATCTTTATTAAAATGCGTACTTATGGGCTAATTTGGCTGTGTAGTTTCAGTAGCTTGTAAAAGCCGGTTTTTCGTGATTGAAGGTAATGAGATTCCTGTGCTCATTAAATAATGTCAACAGACTTGGCAATACCGATGATTATCATGCTTTATCTTAAACCGATTCATGCATATCCATATACGCTATGAACAGGAGAACATTTACTTCTTCAATAATAATTTACAGATCTGTAAATTTTCTGCTGGATAAATGCCCCTCCCCCTTAACGCTTTGGCGACGGGGGTGCTGTTTGACCATACTTTACCACGATGGTCAGTGTGGGTTTGTGAAGGTTCGGAGTCTACCAGTTCAGATATTACTCGCCATTTATGTTAGTCATGGTGCGGAATCGAATTCAAGTCGCCAGTTTCAGAATGCAGTGTGCTAACCTCTGTGCCACCACTCCATCGCACTGTTTCCACACCAGCATTAGCATAATCTACAAGCATTCCTTCAACAACACATTCCGTTCTACAGTCCTGTGGTTTGATGTGCACCGATGATAACAGTTTGCAATAAAATGGTAATAAATGTTTGTTCAAAAAAGTTTCATTTGATGGGCTGTCGGTTATGCATATACTGCGTGCAATCTGTTCTAAGTCGAGTGTGTAGCTCGTCTTCAGATATCTTCAACTAGATGTTCCGGCACGCCTTGCCCTGCGGTCGAGTATCAGAAACATAGATGTGGAACAACACCCCTGATCGTGCGTGGATTCACTGCCCAAGGAGACGGCCACACTGAACCTGATGCTGCTCGCGGATTGTCGTCGCGCTCGATGACGCGGAACCATGCCAATCCAGCAGCAGGAGGCCTGGCTCGGGGCGACGGATCACGGCGACACCTCGAGCAAGATTTACACACTTCTGGGGCGCCGTGGTGGCGAGATGTTAACTACCTCGCTTGGTATGCAGCAGGTCGTGCGTTCGATCCCGACCCTGACGCCTGCTGTATATTTGGAGTTGGCATGTTCTCCCCGCGGTCGCGTGGACTTTTCTCCGGGTCCTCCGGTTTTTCCCTCCACGTTTAGAAACATGCGTTGAAGAGTATTTTGCTGCTATACATTTCAAAGAGCTAAGCCACTTCGTTGAGCTATCATTTGTGGCCAGGTCCCTTCTAAAAAAGAGCTACATAGCTTAGTGGGCCTTACCTGGTAAAATACAAGTAGGTAACATTTGACAACGGCCCCACCGCGGGCTTAGTGTTGCAATACAGTATTTGTACTGTACAATTAACTACACCTGCGTTGGCACTTGCTATAATTGATCAAATTAGCAAGTCCACCTGTGTGTGTGTCAGTGGGGAGCGGTAGTGTAGCGGTTAGCGCGCTGCGCGACAAACCCAGCTAGCCGAGTTCAATTCCCGGTAACGGCCAACACCGGTAACGATCATCTGAACCGGTCATGGGCTTCCCCGAGGTCAAATCGGCCACAAATGAGTGCCTGATGCGATGTGTAAAGATCGCCACAAGCAAGACAAAGGTGGCTGGGGGTGGCTCTGACCACTCCCTCTTACCGTTCCAACCTTCATAGGTGCTCGCTAACAGCACTTGCTCCAACTGTGTGTTAAGGCTATACGGGGGATGTTTGTATGTAGTAATCAACAATCTTTGTTTCACTGTTTAAAAATAAGATTACAATTATCCATAGGCCTCTGGGCTTTCTGGAACAATGAAGAGGACTATGCTGGTGTGTCTTGGCAAGTCCAAACTGTTTGTGAGTTTGTTGCTTAAAAGCTGACGGAAAACAAACTTTTCCCATCGGTTGGTGAACCAAAATTCTGTATTTTACAGTACGTATGCATCAGACGGGCATATCATTTGATTATGCTCATATAAACACGTCACAACATGTATATAAAACATGTCAACGCGCAGCAGACTGCAGACCTTTCAAACCAGATAAGGTTACTTTAAAAGTCCATTGAGACTAATTATTTTTAAGGGAGACTTGGCTTTAAATAGGAATAGCAAAATCAATGCCAATTATAAAGTGTAAATGCAATTACGAATACAGTATTCGAAAAATAAATCGCATTCTTTTGGGGCATCTGCCGAGCTTCTGCGCAATGGGCGAAACTTTAATGTCTCTAATTCGTGAACGACGACGTAAACGGCATCGGGTGGCGGTTTCTTTGATCCACCGTAGGCGTTCTGTGATGTGTCCCAGTTCCCGCAGTCCCATCGTGGAATCTCTCTCCTCCGAGCCCCCCGCTTGTGAACTTAGGGGGCGTAGTTGTGTTGGTACGGAATGGGGTTCGTTGAGGACCACAGTCTCGCATCCCTTTTTCAGCTCGTCGTGTTGGGTCTGGCGGTCCGTCCAGTAGCTCGCCGAGCTGCATTGGCTGCGGTTGGCCGAACCAATACATTGTTATAGAGTCGCACTCATTACACACTAAGTACTTGCCACAAATTAACCACAATACCTTGCTGATCTCGTCAAGGGGCATAAATCACCATGCGAGCGGTCATCCTTGCAGCAGAGGCCGCGGCTTCTGGCTGGCCATCTTTCAGATGCGCTTCTGAGGCCGTCTGGAACGCTCTTCCGATATGAGGAAGCTACTGGTGCTATGCATTTACATCATCTCGGTTGAAAACGCATTTCTTTAGAACTGCCGTTGACTTTACTGTCCTTCCCCCGCATCTCCGATTAGCATGGTTGGCTAAGTACGGTGCGGAAGAAGTTCAAAATGCTTTGTCGTTCAATTGGAGGTCTTGTGGTGCGGCTATCGAGTGTGCAGGCGGTGCAACTGCACAGGAGGGGGCCGTGGGTAGACTGACAGGGGGCCCCATTTCATTCCTTGCACCATGGCTCATGGCAACCACGAGACGTTCCTCAATCGCTGCTCCTGTCCACGCATTAAAATGTCCTCATTTTGCTTGCAAAGCCAAACCCACTTGCAAAAGACGAAGGGTTTGGCAAATCTACAAATAGAGCGACCTCTGTGTTATGGAGGTCAGGCTTAGTTTTATAACGCATTTGTAGAGTCAGTCCTGAACTGCTTTTTGTGTTTAAGTTTGTTGCCCTTCCCCCGCATCTCCGATTAACGCGCCTGGCTCCGTACGGTGCGAAAGAAGTTCAGCACGCATGCAACGACGCACAGACGCGCGCACATCCATGGCACACTCCCTTGGCAGGGTTGTGACCCCGTCCCCAACACCACCACGGCGCTGGTATGCGGGGACTCGACCAGCAGGGGGCGCGCGGTCACCCCACGCTGGCCGCGGAGGCGGAGCTCTGAGCCGGCTCCACCACCACCACCACGGGTCGGGCAACAATCGGCGCGACCCCTGCGTGGTACGTGCACCGCCTCACCGCCACAATGTCTCCTTGCTTCAACCACGCGACCCACGTCATATTCGACATGGACGGCCTGCTCCTGGGTGAGTCTGCCCTTCTCCCCCCTCCTACCTACACTCGCACGGCCAGGTCCGCCTGGCACATGCGCTGCTGGGTGGAGGCCTCGACCCCCACCACCACCACCCACGCCGGTCGATCGTGCCGGGGGATAGGTGGGGCGAGGGGGGTTATTGACCGTGCTGGTGGTGAGATGGTGGTGGTGGAGTTGCGGGTTGGCGCCGCCTCCGACGCCTCCTGATAATCGCGCCACTGGCGTTTCGGTCGTGACCGAGAATCGAACTCTTCCCCGTGGGGTGCGGAGCGCAGAGCCCCAAACCGCCGCCGGGCCGCCGCCTCTAACGGAGGGGCAGAGGGGCGACCACGGCGCTCACAACAACGAGCGGAGCGCCGGGAGGATAAAGTGCGGCAAGGTTGGCACAGTAGGAGGGGAGGGGGCACGGCAAGTCTGTCGACCCTGTGGCACCTGCTGGGTCTGAACTGCGTTGAACTTCTTTCGCGCCGTACGTAGCCAACCGTGCGAGCGCCGAAGGCTCGCTCGCTGAGCCCCTTGTTGCCAGCGAGCCTTCGACACTTCACGTTGTCTCGGAGTGCACCTAGCCTGGCACAGGCACCGTGGGGACGCACTAGGCTCTGAGCCAGGCCGAACTGAATGCCGCCACTTGCGGCTAACGTCAGTGGCGAGTGACATTAACCCCGGTCACGTGACACACAAGCCTCCGCTTTCACCATCCCGTACTGACAAAGTGTAAAAAGACAAAGATCCCCTGTATAGCCTGTAACAGACTGGTTGGGGCAAGTGCTGTTTCTGAGCGTTAATCAGAGGGGGTTGTTTGGCCAGCACCACGCCCGACCGCCTTTGTATCCCCAGTGACGATGTTTACACACCGCACCAGGTACTCAATTGAGGCTGATTCCACCTCGGAGAAACCCAGGACCGGTTCAGATAATCGCCGTCGTTGGTGGCCGGAATCCAACTTGAAGATCCAGGTTCGTAGTGCAGCGGCCTAACCGCCTCACCAACTGCGTCTTATAATCTGGAGAATACGATCATGTTTAATCTATATTTAAACCATGTTGCGGTAATATTAGGAGCACAGAGGGCATGCCCGTTCCTCAATTATACTGCGGTCCAGCCAGTGCCGGATTAAGCTCGTACGTGGCCTGTCGCATGATGTTATAAAGGGGCTCTAAATAAAAAAAAACAAATGTGCAAACACAAATGTTTAACTTGCATAGTAAAGTAATTGTATTTTTTTCATTTGCTATACAGCCAGATAATACGACAAATCGCTAACCTTAAACACCCAGTCGTTCATAAAAGCTGAAGGTGGTATAGTACTATAGTAATAGAGCAAGTGCAGAATCACTGAACCGGAATTGATAGCTTGAAAGCATTTAGCGCGGGGCCCTTGAAAGTGCGGGGCCCGTAGCTACATGTGTAGTAGCTACTTTTGCTACGAGGATAATCCGGCACTAGGTCCGGGTCCACCCCACATTGCCATGAGCTGATAAGTCCACCTCGACAGGACCACGTGGGCGCGATCACCACGAGCAACTGCCAAAGTTCATTTGCTGCCATCCCCAAATGAGGCGACACTTTCTTTCGTGGCCGCGTGGGCAGCAGCTGCAGTGGGAGAGCGTTGTGCGCAATCGGTTAGCGCCGCTTGTGGTCAAACATGAGTTTTATTACGGGCTTGGGCTGCCACCATCAGTGGCCAATGACGTCTGAATCCCACCCCCCCCCATGCATAGGGAGAGAGACCTTCAGCCAGCGGTGCATTTAACAAAGGAAGAGTGGGGTCGCTAATGATTAACGACTGTTTCTACTATTAGAGATGATGAAACAACTGTCCGCCTGTTTGTTTATTTTCTTCAAAGCGAGCCGCGTTCACCATTGCGAAAGAAAAACGTCGTCTGGCTCTCACGCCTGTCCAGCGGTCCATTGTGCTGATTGGGCAGCTGCGCTATTCAGAATGGTTCAAGGTGAAACAATGCCTCTTCCCCACGATTGAGGAAATTACCTTACATTGGGATCGCCACCTTTCCCCCCACTTTGGACCAAGCCCGGACACACGTCTCAGTCAGCACGAGCTCAGTTACCAGAGTTGTGCAGTGCCCTGCAATAAAGTGTCGCTCAGCAATACCGGGACCAGATCTCGGTGAAAATCAACGCCTGCTGTCACCCGAGAGCACAGGTTTTACACCGAGATTGAAAACTAATTTATTGCGAACTGCTTTCTGTGTCATAAGTTTGTTGTCCTTCACGCGCACCTCCTGATTAGCATGGCTGGCTACGTACGGTGCGAAAGAAGTTTAACACACGTACAGATTTCCAGTCCGGGTCAAACCCGTACAGGTGGCGAACCTACGTGACGGGCTGCTGACCTTGCTGCAGACCGCAGCAAGATCGTGCTGCGTGCATCTAATGCCTCACGTTGGCTCGCTTCGCTTTATATTCAGGAGCGAATTCGATCTCGTGCTGCTTGAAGGCCAATGGTGCCCTTCTGCCTACAAACCTCTTGATCTCTCATAATAAAGGTGTTTGGTTTAGAGCGCGTAAGAGAATAAATGTGTCGAAACCCTCCACCACGTGACTCAGCCAATTAGTAAGGGATTTGTCACGTAAACAAAACGCCAATTCGTTACTACTTTATACTTACGCGATCGAACCCAAAATCCTTTATGAATACTATTGGTCACGAATAATATTGGTCGTGCTCTTGATATCTCTCTCTCGCGTCTGTGGGGTGATCGCACGTTCACCCTGGTGCCCCTCCGCTTGTGGAACTGCCAACCGTTGGCGACCAGGCCCAGGCTCTTGGGCCGTGTTCATGTCCACTTTGGCGTTATTCCTCTCCGGCTCTTCTTTTTAACACTCAGTTCCTGCTCCATTACTTTTGTCCCTTTCAAGCGTGGCGCCTTGAGACGTTGCGGACGTTGTGTATGGTGCGAAAGAAGTTCAACATACATCATAATCTACTGCAGCATAATCATTACTACTACATGAACTGCCCGTGTACATTGAGAGAAAAACAACAGCCTACGACGTCACCCTTACAGCACTTGCCTCTGTGCCTTGGCGTACATTGCTAATTTTGTCTGCACTGGGTGTTGCTCTGTGTTTTTTTATGTCTTTGCCCCCAGGAACCAGTAAAGGACTCAATTAATCAGTCACCAAATAAGGCGGCTCTCACTCGGTGCCTCGGTGTTTATCTTCTGGTGTTGTGATTCAGAGTCTTGTGTGCTCTTTACTGTGGCACAATATGTTCTCAGCTGATACGGCGATAAAGTCCTCTCTAGCCGCACCACCGCTGATTAGCATGGTTGGCTACGTACGATGCGGTAGAAGTTCAACGCACATAGATGGGGTGGCCATATGACCCACACGGGAGTCCAGAAATCGCCATTGTCTTCTTGCGTGAGTCATCTGTGTTCAAACTGAACACGTCAGGTGCTTTTCTCTGTCGCGCATTCTCGGCCACTTGTGGAACTTCCACATTCCTATGGCAGAGACCCGGTCATGCACTTGCTTTGCATGCTACCACGTGGTGGGGTGCTTGCGCGGGCAAACACTTTGTTAATACTAATAATGCATTTTATTTATGAAGTGTCAAAAGTTGCTGAGGGTTAGGAGAGTTGGCGATATCACGAAAGAGGTGAAATATAGAGTTGCCTTTTTTTAAGAAGAAGAGGCCGTCGAGACCACGCGCCTCGTACTCACGAAGGGTTTGAGGCGACTCGGTGGTCAGAGCGCCGAGCCAGAGCCACTGGGGCCTACGGTTGAAATCCAGGCAAGCTGCCTGTGATGAAGCCGGGTTCTCGAGTGCAGCGCTTTGCTTGTTTTATAATTATCTGTGATGGCTTTTTGTTTGCGGTGCAATTATTTGGTGACAAGGGCTGAGACCAGCAAAGCGCTGCACTCGAGAACCTGGCTTCATCACAGGCAGCTTGCCTGAATTTCAACCGTAGGCCTCTGCCGTCTGTGATGGCTTTTTTATAATCTAATCTAGCAGCCCTTTTGCCCACTTCAGCAATTGTTTCTTGCTGTGGTTGTCCCACCTGATGACGGACGCTTGTGTTGCGCCCGAAACGTCATGATTTAATTTATTTTATTTTATACCTACGTGACTTTACCGAGAGAACCGAAGAGTATGGCTTTTTTATAATTCGTTTTTTCTCTCTCTCTAAATTCCAGCTCTGAGAATTTCAAATGTGGGTTCGGACGCTATGCAACCAATCGCACTGTCACATTCAAAATGGGTGGGGGGGGGGAAATCTCTACTTTGTGAAGCACAAGTCGCTGGAAGGATGGACCTCAGACGCAGCTCTATGACATCCGCTTCCGTGGGCCCTTCTCTGAAACCAAGGGTCGCCCGCTGCTGTGCGGGAGATTCGAAGGGGTTACTTCCCATGGTGATGGCGGTAGTTCAATTGGGATGAAATCGGGGGGGCGGCGGGGGGGGGGGATAACAAAATGATGGGGGATACCTGGGTTTAAATAAACACAGGGCTAACGGTCTGTTGTGCTAAATATGGATACATCGTAGCGGCAAGCCAAATGCTGAAAATGAAGACTCATGGTGAATCGTCGTAATCGGACAAAATAAGGGAAACTGGCTCATCTGCCTGTCTCACGCAAGCGATTGCATTCTGAGTCACGTGTCTATAGCAGTGTGGCAGCGACACACACGTGTTGTGTGTGTGTGTTAAGCAGTGTGACACAGCGACACACGTGTGTGCCAGTGACGTGCGGTGAGGTCAATAGCTGGGGAGGCACTGGCTAGTGTCAGAGCCAGATTCACACACTGAGGGGGATGTGGCCTCACGGGGGGCGTGGCCTCGTTGAGGGGCGTGGCCTCACTGAGGAGGCGTGGCCTCACTGAGTGGAGCGTGTTAGACACGTCCCCCTCAGTGAGGCAGATGTGATAGCTGCCTCCCCTGGTGCTTTTTCATTGCAGTTTCATGACGAGACCAGCGAGCCTAAATATCGTTATACACATACGTGAAATAAGGTACCTGGAGT